GGATATTCCTTGCAAATAGGTAGACAAAAGATTCCTGCCTAGCTGCAAACTATATAACGGCAACTTTTAAAGGGAAATATGCTTTTGTAATGATAATTACTTTTCGCTACCACTCGTCTGATAATACGAGCAGTACACAGTGTTTACCTTCACAGGAGGCAAGCGAAAGAAAATGGAGCAAATTTCCAGAAATATTTATCGCAATTACTCGACTGGGTATGTGTGGGCACAAATCTAACATATAACATAATAAAGAACTGTACACGAACAACTTCAGTCTTTATTTTTCGTGAGCCGGAACTATCGGAAAAGTGTCAAATTGCAGGTTTTAGGTTTTAAGATTGTAAAATTTCACTATTTTTCACAAATTAAAACTGCTATAATACAATGTAAGTTCTTGACACAGTTAGGCTTTTGAATTGATATTTTATCATCTGTTCGATTTCCCCCTTGTTAGTTTAAATAAAAAAAGTGAAATATTAACGATATTTCTTACTCAAGCTTTCCAATGATATTGGCGGCTTCGAATCCGGGGCTTCGAATCTCGGACATCAAAGGTAACAGCACACCTGTAGATTGTATTGTGCAACCTTAGACAACGGCAGCTGCTTGGAATAATTTGTTGCCAGTTGGGATTCCAGCGTTTAAAATTCCTTGCTTAACCGTAATATCATAAAAACATACCCGAACACACCGTCTGAACTCTGAATGGCCTTGAACATGAATCACTGACACCAGTGGCGTAGACAGGTTCGTACACCTGGGGGGATGACTCAGGGGCGGATCTAGCTTTTTGCTAAGGGGGGGGTTGACCAAAATAATGACGATGCGGAGCATCGTCCACGAGCCGCGAAGCGGCGAGCCGATTTTTTGGGGGGTGTTTATTTGAACCCCGTAAGTGATGTTTTCCTGGCATCTATTAACACAATGGAGACCATAAAAAGCAGTGCATGATAACGTCTTTTTAAATCAAGTAACAGTTAAATACACAGTTATATCCAGAGTTATCATGTGTTTGGTTAAGTTACCAGATGAGTTGAATATCTTCTCACAATATTTGCACTTGAAATGGTTTCTCTCCAGCGTGCGTTCTTTTTTTTGTTTTGTTTTGTTTTTTTGTTTTTTTTTTTTTTTTTTTGGGCCGACCAAGGGGGGGGGGGGTTTAAACCCCCTAAACCTCCCCCCCCCCCCCCGTAGATCCGCGCCTGTTTAATCTTGTGGTTATCTTGTGGTTTCCAAACCACAAGATAACCACAAAATACTTGTAAGATTTTCTTTTTTTTACCGTCTGAATTGGCTTTCACCGTGTGAATGCGGCTAATAACAATAAACACAATTACAATAATGATGAGGATTATTATTATCATCATCATAATTATTATTATTATTAATATTATAATTGTTATCATTATTATTATTACTATTATTATCATCATCATTATGACTTATTAAGTAAGCAAATATCATTCCCCAAAACCTGGGGGGGGGGGTGATTGTACATGCCATCCCCCCCCCCCACCTTGTGAGGTGGGGGGGATGCATCCCCCTCATCCCCCCCCCCGTTGTCTACGCCCCTGACTGACACGTAGTCAGCACGTAAAAAGATCTGTCCTGTGCCACGAAGGCATGTTAGTATAGTACGTAGTACGTTAGTACGTAGACGGCCCCAACAGGGAGCTTGTACCCCAACACACAGTCAGTCTGAATGGCTCTTTCATGAAGGACTACATGAACACGCATATGCACACAATTCCTGACATCCATGCTTTATTGATTTATTTGTAAATATAGGTCCACCGAAGGGAAAAATGTCTTGCTTGAATAATGTATAGTGATCATTAGTACTATTGCTTGTTTAATTGACCTCATTACAAAGAACTATGTATAAACTACTTAACTGCAGAGAAAACATCTATGGCAACATTAAGTGATAAATGTTGACTATTTTTATAAATTAACCTCATATGCCAAGGCCATTCTCATTCACCAGAAAGGTTTTGATTTTAGCGTTCAAAATTTGTGAACTGCGGTAGGTTACAGTGACATAAGGGAAAAGCGAAAAATTACCAAATATGAAAGGGTTTTACGGAGAAAATAAGGGGCAATGGGCGAAAGTTACGAAACAACAACCAAAAATAATACCCATTATAAAAGGAAAAATGTAAGCTTCAGCCTTCTCCTTTATATATTATTATATTGCCTTATCGTTACTTATCAAATGTCTTTTCAGTCTTCCGTTATGACTGAGAATGTGCTTATAACCTCATCAGGATTGGGTTTTCCCTTGTTATAAGATGTAATTTTCCGCATTGCGACCTCGCATATTGCTGACTTCATACTATTTAGCTACTTCAAAACGTGGGAGTGTTCTGCAAATTCTTTCACATGCATCAGAGATGTGTTTCAAAGCTGTGATTTTAGCATTCAAAACTACTCCTGAAAAGCTGGAATTTCGAAATTAGGTAGTTCATACATACTTCTTTATTATGAGGTCAATAAACCAGCAACTGTGTTAATGATCACTACATTATTCAAGCACGACAATGTGCCCTTCGAAGGGCCCATATTCACGATTTAAACAATAAAATTGATCTTGAGTATTGTGATGGAAGTTATAGGAGCCCGCGGTGTTCTTTACATAATATTGAATGGCTTTGAGTGTGATACAAGGATATATTGCTCGAGCTATGACAATATTGAACGAGTCGGAGACGATTCCAATATTGCCACAGAGAGAGGAATATATTCTTGTATCACACGAAAACAAAGCCATACAATATTATTATTACTATCTATTTCAGGCTGACTAGCGAAATAACAAAATTTGACTTACCTCGGAAAATATGGATTTTGTGTGTGTCATAATTATAGATATCGATAGTTGAAGTTCCCGGATGACTGAGCAATACGTTAACAATTTTGTCATTATCCGGTACTGCGCTAAAGATATTGAATACACTGATTTCTTGTACCACTTGGAAACCAATATAATTATAGACAATGAAAGTTGTTATCCACATCTACCATCAATGGGTTGAACAAATCATAATCATTTACTATTCAAGTGAGTAAATTTTTGTTCGGGCTTTTCCCATCGGGTTGCAATGAATAGCTTCGGAGTTCCCGGGACACCCTCAGGTACCCCGAAAATGATGTACTATTGGTTGAACTATCTAGTAACTTTAGTATAACACAATTATGATATCTGTAGAAAGAAAATAGATCATAAACCAAGAGTGTGATCCTCTTAAATCACCAACGTTACATTCGGGCCCTTAAGGCATCGTTTAACAATGTTAAATCTGAGATGCACGGCCCTACGTGTTATCAGTGTCTGTACTATGGTGTAATATTGAACCCCCTACAAAAATTGCGCTTCAAAATGATCATGAAGTGCCTCAAAAAAGTAAAAATCTTTGAGTGACACGTTTTACCATACTCGTTTTCCCTAATAGACTGTAGAGTTATGAAAACAATTAGGCAAACGCAAAATTTGGTTTCAACTCAATCAATTCAATTAAGGTTTTATTGCGAAAAACATAGAGTACAATGATGCACACAGTGGCGGATCCAGGGGGGGGGGGCCTCTTCCCTTGGGGAAAAAAACGTGTAAAAAAACGTTAATTTTACCTTTTTTGGAGATTGGCCCCCTCCCCTGGCGCTCAAGGGGTGGGGGTGCGATTTTTCAAATTTTCGAGGGTCGAACAATTTGACCCCTCCCCTGCCGCCAGCTGGATCCGCCCTTGCTTCTCAGCCCAATAATTAAAAAAAAAAACGCTTTCCCGTCCTTTGTTCGTTCGTTTATTCATTTCATTTTTTTTTTATCACAGCAAAAGCAAATAAACATACAAGTATTATATATATATATATACAAAGCAGAGAATTTTCAGTTTATACGATAACTTCAAATAGAAATCAATTGGAGAACAAAGGAAAAGCCCATGGTGGCCTTATTTTAAAAAGTTCCCTTGAATGATATTAATGAGTGAATGGCAAGTCCACTCCAAAAATATCTTACTCTCAATAGAAGCAGACAAATCAGACAAATCGATCAAAAAAAGTGTGAGCAAAATCGGATAGAAGAAAGTTTGGAATTTTTGATGACATGAAAAACTCTGAAAATCACAAGACAAATTGCCGATTCACTCAAGAGTCTGTGACGTCATATCCTTACTATCCACTAATTTTTTTTATTTATATTGATAACATAAATTTCCAATTTGCCCCTATGTTTTTGTGTGGAAAAACTGTGCATGCACTAATAAAAAGAGTAATTTTTTGTCAGTTAAATGTTGAAATGAAAAACTATTTATATGAAAATCAATGATTATGAATAAATCAAACCTCAAATTTCATACAAGATTTCTTGAATTGTCATGCACGCAATATGATACAAGTCAAATAACCTGGACAAATTGTGTTGTGATTTCCTTTTTTCATAGTCTTTCATACTTATAAAAATCGTCACTTCCTTATTAGTTATACAATTTTACTCAAAACTGTTTGCTTTGTTTCTCTTGTTTTTCTGCATCTATTGAAAGCAAATTACTTTTGGAGAGGACTTAGCCTTACAAAATATCAAAATATTCAAACGATATGTTCTAAAACCCTTCATTGATAAGTAAAGAGACATGCGGAATGTTTAGGAAATTTAGTTCCTTTTTTTTAATTTTCCTTTTCTTTGAATGGTATCAAATTTCCATTCAGGTTTTTATTATATTTTATTTTCTTTTTTATTAAAAAAATACAAACTATTTTTACTTGTTTTACTTCAATTTTTTTCTTCGATGGGGGTGTTTTTGGGGGTGAGGGAGAGAAAATGCACCCCCCCCCTGTTTCGTTTGGGGGGGGAGGGGGCAAGCACCCCCCTATGATTTCCCAGCAAGGGATTAACTACACAGAATTCTACTAAGCCTTACTTTTAAAGACCGTTAGCACCTTATTGAAAGCCTTACAGCTAATTAAAAAGCAACAACAAATTGACAGGGCGTGCCGCTTACCTGCAGTTTAAGGGACAGGGCCCGGTAGGCTCATCAGTCACAGGTCACCATCTCCTAATCAGAAATTACCTAAAATCATGAACTCAAATCTTTAAATTATGAAAAACGCCAACATGGCATGATACATTACTGATAAATTTTGTAAAGCTGAACAAAATAATACAATATAAAATAATCTCGTCGTTCCTCGGATCTAGAAACTTTTGTAAGCCATAACGAAAAATATGTAAAACGCCTGGCTGGGCGTGCGGTTCACCTACAGTTTAAGGGGCAGGGACCGGTAGGTGCATAATTCACAGGTCAACATCTCCCAGACAAAATTCACCTACACCTAATTCTACTAAGTATTACACCTTACATTAACAAAAATAATCAACTAATTGAACAAAGCCATATAGATGATAATGATAATAAAGAAATATAAAAAAACTTGACTGGGCGTGCCGTTCACCTAAAGTTTAAGGGACAGGGCCTGATAGGCTTATCATTTACAGGCCATCATCTCCCAGCCGGGAATTGCACAAAATATTCTTCTTATTAAAGCCTAAAACAAAAATACATCAGTCCAAAAGTTTAAACAATCTTCAAGCTAATTGAATAAGAAAAAAGACGAAAAAAAGACTTGACTGGGCGTGCCGTTCACATACAGTTTAAAGGGCATGGCTCGATAATCTCATCATTCACAAGCCAGCACGTTCTCCCACCCGGGAATTATTATCTACATTTAATTTTTTATGGCCTGCTTTGAATCAATTACATCGTTGTTCGATTACAATGAAGGAGAGGGAAATATAAATGCCAAAATAACTTGTGTCCAAAAATTAAAGTAAAACCCCAAAAAGGAACTTCAACTTTTTTTAGATATAAGAAACCATCAAACGCAATCTCTATGGAATTTATTAAAAAAAGGATAGTAAAGTAATTCGTACAAATTAAGCGCAATGTTCATTTCACGTTTCTTGTTGATCCTTATGACATAATTTAGTTTAACCGTAATTGTCATTTCATTTGTTTTGTAAAGCGCTAAGAAACTGTATCTGTATACCAGTGCTATATAAATCTTAGATATTATTAATATTTTATTATTATAGATAAATTCCAATGTATCGCGAATATGGATACAAGCTATTCAAAATGAAGATGACTAAATGATTGAACTGGATATACAGTGATCGTACTCTGCACAGTGAACACTGCCTGTGCGTTCCATCTTTGTACAGCACATGAATGCGTACAACGGCGCCACATTTCTGGCGCCGAAATTGTTAAGAACTAATGAAATTACGACATTATAAACATGAAAATATCCCTTATAACCAGGCTCTGTCGATGATGATATCATATGTCAATCGTATAAAATGTTAACATCCATCAATATGACTATGCAATACACACAATCATTTATAAACCTTGAAATTAGGCATCCGAACACAAAATTTACCACTCACACATTTACGAGGCTTTCTATCGGATAAAATGTACTAATACAGTATAAACATATGAGAAATCTGCACTCTTACCCAAGATAACATATCACTGATACAAACCCATGTTATCAAAACAGGCATTACTGGTAGATATTAGAAAATAAATTCCGTAGATGAGAAAGAGCCGAAGATATGAGGTACTGTTCACTTACACAAAACTGTGAGACCAGGAACCAGCTATCAGTGAAGATGGTTTGTTCAATATCAGATTATGACCTTAGACACTTGTATTGAACATGACCACTGGACTGTATACGAGTCCATTGATAGAATGTCACCTAATGCCTAGGTCACATATAAACCGGGCCCCGTACGATTTTCCCTACCCGGCGGCTTGCCGTAGATTTAGAGACCGTACGGGAACCGTCCGATTTTCATTTCTACGGCATGTGTGGTCACATATTATGCGGCGCCCGGGAGGTGCCCGGAGAAAATTGGTCGAGTGAAATGCAAGGCGCCCGTAAGGGTGCCGGCAGGGTGCCGGCAAGGTGCCGGCAGGGTGCCGACCGGTAACCTTACGGGCTCCGTCCGATGAGCAGGTGTACCGATGGCTCCCGGAAGGTGCCCTGCCGGGGCCCGGCCGGGGTCCTCAAGGCGCCAGGCCGTGTGCCGTGCGGTGCACTGAACTACAGAGTGAGTCAGAAGAAATGTCCCACTTTTTAAAAGTTGTATTGTCTGAAGTATGAATATTTAATCATGGGTTTCATGATATATCTTGATAGAGTTATCCTCCCAGTACATTTAGGTACCATTTTCATTTGAATCCCTGCATGCATCACTGAATATCAGACACTGCCAGATCTCACTTGCGCCAAGTTACTTGGTGAGGAATAAAACAATGCATTGGACAAAGACAGTCAGACACGTGCACACACCAACACGCACACACACAACACACACAACACACACGGTGCCAATTATTTCATAATTGCCCCTTTTCTGATTGAGCATTGATTTTTATCAAGATCGCTGAATGTTTAAGTGGCATAACCCTAAAGTAAAAATCTTTCCCTTTTAAACACATTCACTACCACGATCATGTCATCATTGTCATCATCTTAATCTTCATCATCATCATCATCATCATCATCATCATCTACCACAACATCCGCCAATACGCACCAAGAGGACAGCGGCCACTCAACTTTTCGTACGATAAGAAGAATTCCCGACAAAAAGTAACAGTTTTGGTAGGCCTTGTTGGGAATGGAATGCTCATTTGTGGACGTGTGCCTGTGCATGTTCGTATATATATATATATATATATATATATATATATATATGTGTGTGGGGGGGGTGCGTGTATTTGTGTGTTTTTGTCTGTCTGGCTGATTGGATAATTGAACAAAATGGCTGTCTTTGTTCAAAACATTATTTTGTTCCTCACCTAGCAACTTGGCACAAGTGAGATCTGTCAGTCTTGTAAAGATTGTCTGATGTTCAATCATGCATGCAGAAATTCAAATGAAAATGGTACCTAAATGTACTGGGAGGATAACTCTATCAAGACATATATCATAAAACTCATCATTAAATATTCATACTTCAAACAATACAACTTTTAAAAAGTGGGACATTTTTTCTGACTCACTCTGTATGTGTCCTCTGGTATCCGTACCTCCTGTATTTAAATCTGCGTTTTACATTTCGAGATGCCGCCGTGAGGGACCCGCACGGGCAATATTCATTTTAAATGGCCCCCGGACGGCAGACGCCTGTTGTTGTGCATATCACCCGGGGCTCTTGAGGGGCCCGTGAGGGCGCCGTAGGGTACACGTACGGAACCCTTGAGCACCGCAAGGCGCCCGTAAATATTTTTATTAAAATTGAAGAAAAAATTCGTAAGGGGCCCGTCCGCGCACTGTCCGGAGCCCGCACGGGACCCGTAAGGTGCCTCACGGGCCCTTTACGGGTTTTCTACGGGCTAACGGTCAGTTAAAAACGCCGGGAGAATTGGGAGCAGCCAACTCAGCACCACGGGGCCCGTACGGCTTAGAAAACTGTCCCGGCGCCCGTAGGAACCTGTCGGCAGCCGGCCGGACACCGGCCGAAAATTCCCAAAATGTCTGTTTTTACTCGCCGTACGGGCCCCGGAGTGTATATGTGAAAGCCCCATTAACAAGCAGCTTCACATTGAATCTAGCTTCTATCTATCTATCTATCTAAGTATCTTCTCCCGGTTCGGAGGATTTTCTTATTCCTTTTGAGTACAGACCTCTTTACAGAGTATTATCGTACTATACTGGGGGTGTGTGCAGGTGGACCACTACACCGGGGTTTCCCCCTACTCTTATACGAATAGTGCAGTGGGTTAAGGTAGTGACTCTTCTCTACACGGGGCCTCCATTTAACGTCCTATCCGAAGTAAACACCATTTCCTTATTGGAGCATTATTTTTTTGTTTTGCTCAACGGGGGGGGGGGGGGGGGGGTAAGGAGCTCTATTTTGTTTTTAATCATCACCCAACCCCCTTTGAGCAACAACAACAACGAAAGATTACTTGTGGGGGCTAGGGGGCGTCTTCTTCTTTTTTATTGGTAAAATTAACGTTTACATCTTTCTTTTTTGGCCAGGGGAGGCCCCCTCCCTTGGATCCGCCCCTGCCTGACTATCCCCTTCTGAATATAATGATCGAATTCTTTTGGGGTTTTTTGCGATCAATTCAAGAGACTTCCAATCTAATTCAATGCCCCCCCCCCATTGAAGAAAATGAATTTAATAATACCTATGCTCCCAGAGGCCCCCCCCCCCCAAAAAAAAAAAAAAAAAAAATCCCTCTCTCCCAAATCACTCTTTTAGAACCGCTCTTGAAAAGAAAGCATATTATATACAATTCTTAGTGCAATTCGGTTTCAGTTCACAAAATTAAAAAAAAGGATGCTCATTTTATAGGAGCATTCTATACGACTGAAATCCACATGTATCAACATCCAATACACCTGCACATTAGTTTATTCGTCACCATCAACAACCTCTGTTAATAAACGCATAATGGTTCTAACACGTTTCATTTTTTTGGGGGGTAAGGCATTAATCCTCATTACCAGATCCCTCGGATAGGACCTAAAGCCGTTGGTCCGTCGGTCCCATAAATGCTTGTTAGTAAGCAAACTAACAAGCATCGATGCTTTATTAGCAGTCTGGTATAATAACCACCACAATAAACGACATGATTTTTCATAAGGTCAGTAGACAGTCAACTAAAACAAAATAATAACCCTGAAACTTTTGAAAGATGATTTAGTGGGTTGTTCCATCACTCGAGTATTAAGTAATTGGTGAATATTTGGTTACTAACGCCATCTAGTGCTCCAGTGCATTAAATTTTTAAAAAAGACATGGGTATCGTTTCACGAAACCGTCGTAAGTGCAAATCCTTCGACATCCAATTGAAAAATGTGTTAAATTGAATTCACACGTTTCAATGGGCTGTCGGTGAACTTGCACTTGTGACTGTCTCGTGAAACGCTACCCTGCCTTCCAAAGCTCCCCGGAATGATAACAGTGTTGATCATGTCGTATCATTGTCTCGATATTAGTCACTTCGTGTCGTCATGGGTTTAAAACACGGCATTGGATCCGTGAAGAGGGAGTAGGTGTCCAGGGAGAATAGATCAATATTTCATTTGATTTACTTGTGGGCGTCATTAGTACACCCCTATCTTTGCAGTCTTATGTCAGGCAAAAAGACGCCTCGTGTTCAAAATGCATGGGATTCTGCTCCGATAGAAGGAACTATCGTCTAGAGGCCATCGTATCAAACACATTAATTAAAAAAACAACCGTGAAACAAAACAAAACGAGACCACTATTTGTTTTTGTTCCAGTTACTCATTAACTTGCTTTACGGATTATCACGTTCATCCCCTTGAAAAGTAGACTGTTAGGTCTGCAGATTAAGCAATGTAGCTCAATAATGAGAGCATTATAACAGCATAACTCCTCATAGAACCAACGCAAGGGCAACAAGTTGTCGACAATGGAACTGTGGAGTATTCTTCATTATTAACGAAGAGTAAGTTCTGCCATAATTATGATCTTTCATATTTGTGAAAATCTGTAGATTAATGTTCTATGATATAAATTAAACTTAATTAACAAGGTGATATGAATTAAACATAAGGCACAAGACCAAGATCCATGTATTAAAAGATTATTTTCATTTATATTATCATTACGGAATCTACATGCATATATTTTCTAGGAATTGTGTGCAGTTTGGAACGAACGATTTACTCTTCTCGTTAAAATTTCTTATACAATGTGACACAAAATGGAGGAAAATATCATTACTCACTTTATGCATAGCATTACTCATAGTTTTACTCATAGTTTGTAGGGTTCAGAAGGTTGGGCATGTTTTTACGTCGGCCAAGATCTTTAATTGTGTATTGGCCTAAATGATAAGATTAATTTAATATTATCAGGGCATCATGGAATCCACATGTGAGTAATAACTGTTTGATGTAATTCCTACCAGTAACGTATGCGATGTATGCATGTACACTGTGAGAAATAGTGTTTACATCAAAACGAACACAATTGTCACGAACACGAGGTTGATTCATTGGGGGAAAACACCGTAGTCCAAACCATTATCTTAATTATCAAAAGGTGAACTAATTTAATTTAATCTCAGATTGTTTTCCAATGGCGTTATATGCCTTTTTAATACTTCGGTCCAAACATCGGATTTTTGTAGTGTGACATCACAGTGTCCGATAGAACTACTATAGAACTGCTAGCAACTACTTTTTCTTTAGTCTTTCTACACTGTAACATCGCAATGTTAATAGCGATGTTCGGACCCCAAGGACCGTATTTTAAATAGGCCAAACGGCACTTGTATTGAAACCACTGTAAGTTTAACAATTTTCGAATATAGAAGACGTGTATGTTTTAACTCCTCGTCAGTTGCCATATTAACTGTAATAGGTTTTGTGTTTACTTTACCAACCACACGCGCGCACTTCCCGTTACGTGTATAACTATTAATAACCCGGTCACATCGACGAAACCGACATCGGACCGAAATCGATCAGACCGAAATCAGACCGACATGAGACCGAACGAACAAACTCCAATACATTAACCTAAGTGGCAAAGAAACGGTCGGATTAGAGCCGGTTTTGAGTCGGTTTTAAGAACGGTTTGGCGGTGTGACTGCGGTGTGAGCACACAAACTCAAGGATTCATAATTGGTTTCAAAGTCCAGTAGATGATGCGATGACGTAGCTCAACCCTGAAACGAAACTGATCTTTGTACCCCTGCGTTGGAGAGAAGACTGAGAGTGAGAAAGACAGAGAGAAAGAAAGAGAGAGAGAGAGAGAGAGAGAGAGAGAGAGCAAAGTTTATATTTGATTTATTACGCAGAAAATATACACCAGCCATGCAAGTTGCAACTGAACTACTACATTATTCACTTGAACTTGCAAAGTTCCTTCTTCACTTTGTTCTGTACTATTTCTCAGCCTGTGTAGCTACTATACTTTAATGTACTAGCTTCAACGCATCGCAGAATGCTAGTTCAATATCTTGCGAAGCTATTTCTGCCAAGTATTGTTCCAGTGAGACTAATCAATATCTGTGCACCGTTCACTAATTAGCGAAATATTCTCTTGGCAATATTTGTAAGCAGTTTCTGCTCCGGGAAATTGGTCGTTTGTGCTGGTCAGCTTCACTTTCTTTCGTCGCATGTGTATATCCGGGACCGAATAACCTTCATAAACTTTTAAAAGATACATAGGATTCCTCTCCGCATTCGTTATCAATTTAATGTACACGTAGAGATCGATAGACCATGGTTTCCGAATCACGTCCGAGTCGATGCTCTGTCTTTGCCTTTCGCTTACTTATCCTCTTCATTTTCATCTGTGCATGCATCTTTGGCTATGTGTACTTCTCAGCTTCTCTCTCACCCGTCGAACCCAAGGTGGTCAATATGAGTGTACTGGTCAACGCGAATCGAACCCCCGACCTGACGAACTGGACCGATGAGGTGGTGGTCAATGAGACGGCGTACGGGTGCGGAAACCCCAGATTTACAGTGCAGGAGTGGTCGATGGTCAACCTACCTTTAGCAGTTAGTATTATGGGATGGTAAGGTGATCGTGTGGGTTGGGACTTTACACCTGTCTTCCGCGGTCAGTATTGAAGACTATACGTTGACAGGCACTGATTATTCAATATTTTATCGGGCAAGGAAAGTGAACGACGGGGGGTTCATGGATTCTTAAATACCCATGGATATCATTATGATTTTAATCATAATATTAACAAACGTTTATCTCGTATAGCTCCTGTATCGAAATATCTTGATGAATACAATTATGCTATGCTAAAAAAAAACATGAATTTACGTATGTATAATTTACGGAAAGAAAATGTGACTATACTCAGAGGCATGAAATCATCGTTGTAATTCATGCTTTTATACCATATTTACATTTTGTAATTTTTTTGTTTTCTCATACTGCGACTTGTTTGTCAAAATGATATTGAGTCATAATACACGTTCATATATACATATTTATAATTGTATACCTCTCTTTAGTATGTTGAACAAATCTAGTCAATATTTATCGAATTGATTTGTCGAAATTGGAGTCATGATTGCCATGCCCGTCTACCGGTCAGTAGTCTTTTTTAAGATGCCTCAGTGTCTCAGATTTGCGGTAATGTTAAGGATAAGATAAGAATTCTTTGTAGATTTGTTTGTGAATTCGGTATATAAAATATATACGAACTGCTTTAATATTCGAAGCATAGCTGTTTCTATACTTGCTCTCATAGCAGTCAATATATCTATAATATTTATTGATTATTTATCACCTTTGTAGGCTCTGATAATCCTTTTCTTTGGATTCTTTCAACCTCGGACACGGCTATGGCCTGGTTGCTGTGGAGGACGACCTAGCGTAGCTTAGTAAGTTAGACACGGTTGCTATGACGGCCGCTAATCATATTTTGTTACTAAAAGAAAACAGTTGCGGTAGAGAATTTCAGAAGATCTCTCAACCATTCTAAAACATTTTTTTTTAATTCGGTCACGTATGCTATCAAACACCCATCTAGTGTAACTATCATCATCGAATTTGTTCTTTCTTTTTTAACTCATGTTTGATTTTGTTGAAAAATAACTTTATTAATGCAAAATGAAGTAGTTCTATTATAGATATTCGTTAAACTGATTATCTAGAAACCTATTATTAATCTCTCCTGCAAAAACACATAATAGTATTGTGTGACCTATAAACAATCGTAAACCAATTTATACTGTCATCTTGCAAGTTTGATTGACTCTCATAAGGAAGTAGAAATTTCCATCTCCCCCAATCAGGACAGTTTTTGCCCCCAAAACAATTATGTTTACCGGTCCCTTTTTTTGGATTGGTTTGGATTCGGAGGTTAAGGAAGCACCATCGTTAAATTGCTTTAAACGCAAACTTGGAATTTTTCTTTTAAATTCTTACAACTCATATAATTTGTTTGCCCTCCCTACAGTCCTTTTTTTTTCAATGCTAATCATAATTGTTAATTAATGATACATGTTCCAGTTTTGTAATGTTTATAAACAAAATACTTTGTGCTATGCTTACTAAATTTCTCGGGTGACTACGCATTTTGACTACGCATTTAACCGGGTGACTCTGGGTATTGGTGCTACTGCTTTATTTTGCATACAAATGTCCTTATTTCATTGTGTTTTAAATTCTCTCCTCTAAATTACATCTTTCTCTACTGATACTGTTCTTCATTTACATTACTTATTTGTTTCAGGAACCTACATTATACAAGCATTGCTTTTTAATAGGTTCCTCACATTCTACTTAATCTATTATATGAATTGATAATCATTGAGTTGTGCTCATTTATACTACAATTATATTATATAATTTTTTATTATATATGTATGTCTATATTTTCTGTAAAATGTGGAACAAATAAAAACTTGAAAAACTTGAAAAACTTGAAAAACATGAAAAAAAGCTCGCAACTTGTAGAAAGATAACTACACATTTAAACAGGTTATATACGATACGGGCATCTGAGACAATTCTCCACGGTAATTTCTTTCACTAACCGAATTCCTAATCATTTCAACCCTGGTTAAGAAAAACTATACCTAACCCTAAACCTAACCTAAAACCGAATAGCAACCATAACCTTATCCATATACCGTTGACGAAACAAAGCCTGGGGAGTGTTACACAAAGACTAAGATCGACTTTAAGATGGTCATGCCACTGTTTGCTCTCACCATGAGACTGGCAATGGTCTCTAAAAGGGACGTACAAATCATGGTTACACATCTACAGAATTAAGCTTTTTTTTTATAGTTCATTATTGAAGGAAAAATATTATCTAAAGATCATAATTGAGAGACCAATGGTGAGAACAACCAGTGGCATGTGTGGTCTGTCAGAGTAATAATAATAATAATAATGTAACTTATATCGCGCCAAATCCACTCTGTGGAGTGCTCAAGGCGCACGAAGGCAAGGCGATGAAAGTCCAACTTAAAGCCGATCTTAGTCTTTGTGAAACACTCCCCTGGAGTAATTGTTGCTGGAGCAAATATTTTAGTGTCACACCTGAAACATAATTGCTGGTCATTCAGACTTGTGGTACATTTTGTCTTTTCTTTACAGTCCTGTCAACCTACTAGACTCGTACTCTGATCGCCTTGCCTTCGTGTGTGCATTTGGAATCACCTGTATTGGTATCCTCGATCTGTTCACCGGTAACTACTACGTCGAACCCGACTACGATGACCTGCCCGAGATGGTCAGAGGTAAGCATCGACCATGGCGGTCAGGAAGAAGAACTTGGTGAAAGAATGGGTTGGATGAAAAGTGGGGATGGAATATTAATGTTAATTTGAAATTAGAATAATCAAAAATTGTATCATTATCAATTAACAATAAAAACATGAATAGAAGGTTTCTTCATCAAGAATAGTCATTTAAATATTAAAAAATCCACATTCCTGACCATAAAATTAGCTTTCCTCTTCTTTTGCATTTATTATAGATATTAAAAAATGTACAAAATAAGTAATTTACAAAGTTTATAAAGTATCGATATTACCAGTTTTTCTTTCAAGGTAAATGCGACATACACATACGGAAGCTTCTTTGTTGCACCGAGACGAATGATTATATCAACAGGAACTACTTTGAAACTATTCTTAGATTTTATTTACTAATCACCTCTTTTATGATGCTTGTGTTGTGGAGTTGGTCAGAGTCTGATGTATCTTGTATCTGGTTTGCATACGTCTACCTTTACTTCGACAGGTGCTGTTCGTAGCTGTATGGCGTATGTAAACGTGTTTGCCATTGGACTAGCTCATTATCCAATCATGATCTGCCTAACTGTACAAGAATGGGTCGTTAGTGACGTCATCGGAATACTATACACCTTAGAATGGTAATAAAAGCCATTTATCTAAACTATCAATTTGTGCATTGAACTGAATATAAAGTATGAAGTATTAATGATTAAAAGTATGTAATGCTCTTTAGATTCCTTCGATTTTTGACAGGCCTGAAGTTTAATGAATAATTATTGACCAAAGAAAATCTACCACAAATATTACCATTTCAGATTTGGAGGATTATTTAGGTAAAGAAATAAAATGAATGAATGATAAATGTGACCAGTTGTCTTTCAACTAAACTTGAATATTAATTCCTAATAATATAATATCGGATGTCGAATGCATTGTGGGCTGACCTAAATGCATTTAGAAAACTCAAGGGAAAAACTCTTAAAGTCATGGCCCCAAATAATGAATGTACATGTATATGGTCATCTGGATATATGCATTGTTTCTTACTTTTATTTTTGGATTGGTTAATCGCCATATACTTACTGGCAATCTTTTCCATCGTCTTCAACACCAATAGCAAGGTTAAAATTCATTTTCTCGCTGAAAGAGAATCTGAGCATTGACATACTAATCATAATTATACTGCATATGATTACATAATAAACGCCAACCAATTTGGACCTTAAAATGGGCATGTTTCTTTGATTTTTAATCTTATTCTTTTCAGGGCATTTTTATATTACTACTCGCTGGCTGAGTGTCCTTGGGGAGTGAGTATTTATCTTTTTAGCTGCTTTTTATCTTCCCTTTATAAAGTATTAACGACTCTCTAGTTTTAATAGACATGAATAATTAAAAAATTGTTTTATCATACCACGTATTTATCTTTGCACTGAAGTAAATAAAGCTATGTTTACTCTATGTGATTCTTCATTCAATACCCCCACCAAGTTGGGGGGGGGGGAGGGGCAAGATGAGCCGTGACGATTATTAGCGTGAACGTTAAGTCATGAATTCTTTGTTTCACCGTAACAAAATAATGTTCTTGTTCCCTCGTGCCATTTTTTTCTCTGCTTTCCCCCTCCCTCCTCTCTCTCTCTCTCTCTCTCTCTCTTTTTCTTTCTCTTTCTATCTCTCTTTCTTTCTTTCTCTATCTTTTCTATTTTCCCTTTCTTTGTTTCTTTCGTTTTCTCTCTCTCTCTTTTTGTATCTCTCTCTCTCTCTCTCTCTCTCTACTTCTATATCTTTCTCTCTCTCTCTCTCTCTCTCTCTCTCTCTCTCTCTCTCTCTTTCTCTAATAAGAGAGGGTGGGGGAGATTGGGAAGATAAAGAGAGAGAGAGAGAGAGAGAGAGAGAGAGAGAGAGAAAAGAAAGAGCGTGGGAGAAGAGAGATGTAAACGGGGCAAGATAAAATAAAAAAAGGAAACGAGAATTTTGTTCAGTGAACTTAAAGAACACAAAGAAATGCGCTCTATTGACGATATACATTTAGCACTATTTTACTTTATCATTATGCTTACCCTTCTATATTATGTGCCGCACTCTTTCGATTAGGAATCTGATGAGGGCGATGTGAACAGTCTAATTCTGATACCAATCTACCTGTGTTACCTCATTCTCTTGGGCATCTTCATTCGACGCATGTACAATAATCACATGTTCCGGCAAAAGCTTAGACAGGTAGGTCTAAAGGTTGATGCTATACTGAAGATGAAGGAGTAGTGGATGGTGATGAGTTTGGGATGCTATTAAAGGTAAAGACCAGTTATGGTCATGCGATTGCATTGTGAAAGAAACGTTGTGGAATCGATCAGAAAAGATTGATCATCTAGCATCTAGCATCTGCAAGGTTCTGGAATCATCAAAATGATAAGAAATTTAGCCCATTCTTCGTAAAGTTACAAGCACTATACACAGAAAGATGTATATGGGACTACCCTATATCTCTCACAGACCATGAGAGAAACAAATTTACCAAATATATGAATTAGTAGGCGGTTTCCCGGCAAATTTGTTATCATCATGTATTAGTCAAAACATATTCTTTCACATGATTGGTAATGGGGGCTTCCATTTCATTTTTTGAAATTGGGGCGTTTCCAATACTGGTCTTTACCTTTAATGATACTACTGCTGCTGCTGGTATTGATGATGATGGTGACGATGATGATGAGGGTGATGGTGATAGTGATTATGATGATGGTGGTAATGAAGTTGGTATTGACAATGATGATGATGGTAATGATAATGAAGAAGTACTGGATAATGATGAGGTTGGTGGTGCTATTAATGATAATGCTGCTGCTGATGATGTTGATGATGATGATGACGATGAGGATGACGATGATGGTGATAGTGAGTATACTGATGGTGGTGATGAAGTTGGTGATGATGATGATAATGATTATGTCATGGTGATTATGACGATGATGTTGACGAGGATGATGGTAATGATGATGGTTAATACGGTAGTGGTAGAGGTGGTGATGATGAAGACACTATTATGTGACGTTGATCATCTTGATAGTGAAGATGGTATTGATGGTAATGATAGTTATTTTGTTGATGTTGTCGATGATGAAAATGATGATATGATGATGATAATGATGTGGTTGTTTTTGCTGTGAAGATAATAATGAGGGTGATGATGATGATGATGGTGATGAAGATGACGATGATGATGATGATTATTATGGTGGTGGTGGTGATAATGAAGACACTATCAAATGATGTTGATGGTGATCGTGTTGATAGTGAGCATTGTATTGAAGGTGATGATAACCATTATGTTGATGAAGATTATGATTATTCAGATGACGATATGATGATGATAATGATGTGATTAACGCTTAGAGACTTCGGTGGTAAGCGCTTTATAAGCACCTATTATTATTATTATTATCATCATTGATATTATTTTTGATAATTATGATGATAATGATGATGATGGTATTGTTGTTTTTGTTTGTGATAATAATGATGATGCTACTGCTGATGGTGATGACACTTATGACTATGAGGTTTGTGGTAACGTAGATGATCAAATTTGTTATTGATTATTTAATGAAAGCAATGGTGATATAGTTTTCCAAATTATTCTCTTGGTTATGTACACTACTTTGAAGTAATACGATAATGATTTTGCATTGTTATTCTTACAGGGTCTTGAAGTGGAGATTCACGACTATGAAGAAGACTTCAAGAAGACACACTTTTATCAAAGGGTCAAATATCTATTGACACCCAAGGAGGAGTGGGAAAAGTACCAATATGTTACTTATATTTTCGTACTTTCTATTAAGTAAGATAATGGAGGAAGAGAGAGAGAGAGAGAAAGAGAGAGAGAGACAGAGAGAGAGAGAGACAGAGAGAGAGTGAGTGAGTGGGAGTTAGAGAGAGGAGAGAGAGAGAGAGAGAGAGAGATGCCAAATTAATATTTAACAAACTAAACGATTGCCAGTTTTCTTGACACCGATTAAGCATGCAAAAGTCAAACTTTCGAAAATGAAAAAATAAATGTTATACTTTCAATCATTATGTGAAAGTAGTTTCGTCCATTCAATATGACTATATTAAACATGATTCTTATTGACAATTAACAATAATATTCCATTCCCACTTTTCAAATGTTGCAAAATTGTTTTTGAGTTTTTGATGGTATGATTCTATCATCAAATAAACATTTACTTTACTTGTACTTGTATCAAAGAGAACTGTTGCTGAGCTAGCGCTATGATCGTCCCTGGATGGTGTGTTCGATAAGTTTACACTATTATTATTATTATTATTATTATTATTATTATTATTATATATTTATCCAACCCATTATTTCGCCAACACAGTTTCTTAAATCATCATTTTGACGTAATTTCATTTGTCTGTCATTTAAATATTTTTTGATTTAATTTTTAGAGACCAGGAAGAACCTGGAAAATGCAGAAAATTTTGGAACAAATTTTACAAAGATGAACCAGGTAGGTAGATCTTGATTGCTCTAAATATTATTCAGTTATCTAATTGATAGAATTGTGACTTAAGTAAAAAAAAAAAAAAAACAAAAAAACAGCAGTAGTAGCAGTAGTAGTAGTAGTAGTAGTCTAAGTAGAAGTAGTAGTAGTAGTAGTAGTAGTAGTAGTAGTAGTAGTAGTAGTAGTAGTAGTAGTGGTAGTGGTGGTGGTGGTAGTAGTAGTAATAGTAGTAGTAGTAGTAGTAGTAGTAGTAGTAGTAGTAGTAGTAGTAGTAGTAGTATATACAAAGGAAATATAAAGATATAGTAACAACAAGATCATGAAAAGAAGGAGAAAGATGAATAAAAAGTGCATTTCTTACCGTTCAAGTAACATAGACCTTTTCAAATATATTCTTAATTTTCTACAGGTTTTCTATTTTCTCGTCGCATCATCTGCACCATAGGACTGAGTGGACTGTGTTTATTTTGTGTAAGGAAACACCTGATTAATATCTTCTTTTTGCACAACAAGTAGCATAATATATCGTAATTTAGAGGAGTACCAAAACATTTAAACATTGACTTCAGTGTTGAAGTATATCCTTGAGGATTTTGTAGATATTAAAAGAAGACGTCACGTATTCTACATCACTGTGTAGAAAAATGTAATAATCAAAGAATGCAAAGTGATATTATTGAAAAATGTGATCATTTTTGCATTCCAATATGTTTTCTTTTATGTTTACATGTATGTGCGATTCGTCTAAAAGACACTATAATGGTACATATTAGATGTAACATTAATTCCTGCACATTTAAAACATCATTCTATCAATGGCTGAATGAATCATTTACAACTTGTCTCTAAAGTATATTCATGCTAATTTCAAGAGTGTGAAGAAGCAAAATCCCAACGTGTATTTAAATATGATGCAAAATTAAGATTGGTAACGTTTCTTGTGACATAAGCCTCGTGATATTTGTACAAACTTTTTTAGAGTTTACGTTTGTTATTTCAAGTGACAGGTCATATTTATATTTACATCTATTTGTTTATGTGCTCATGTCATCACGCATGTAGATTGGAATTATTTACGAAGCCAGTGGAATCTACCTGGAAAGGTGGGCTGCTGAAACCTTTGCTGTAAACGGATCACTTTATAACTACCTTGCCGAAAGCAATGATACTGATACGTTCGACGCAGCCAAGGATGTCGTTGATTCATTTGCCTGTAAGTTTACTTATATAGTAATTATTTTAATTGCAATATGTTACGCATATAGGCGGGTTTGAGATGAGGCGAGAGGATCGCGTGGATGGCCTCCTATAGTGGAAAACAAAAAGTGTAAACTGGAAAAGAGAGGGGAACAAAATAGAAAATAAATAATGGAATTTTAATTTCATCCATCCCGCCACCTGGTGAGTCTTGAAGGGTCACCCTCCCTACGACTAGCTTCCCTTCACACACCTTCATTTCTTAAAAGAATAATGACTGAGTACAATAAACAAAATTTTCATTAACTGTTTTAACTTTACACAGTAAGTTTTCGTATTTTGAAGAAGAAAAAAACAATAGGACGATTAAAAGTTGCTTTATCAGTACTATTTTTGTTATTTGTTCTTTGTCAACAGACACGTTTTCACCGACAACATTCGCTGCTATGGGAGTAATGATTTGCTACAATTTCGTCACCTTTGTTGCGTATAGGTGAGAAAGAAATTCAAACCAATGTATTTATCTGTCATCGGTTTATCGTACTTTTTATATATCATTTTTCGATTAGCTAAAGTTTTCAAATTGATTGACATTTACGTAGGAATGTGGATACTTCATCAACATTTTAAATGTCACATTCTTCATTTTTTTCATCTTCATTACAGGAGAAATACTCTCCGGTTATGGCGAGGAGATAAATCGTTTTGCCCGAAAGAAAATTTTTCGAACACAACTTTAGTGGTGAGTATATTAAAATAAGTCTATTCAGTAAAACTTGCCATCATGAGTTAATATGCCAATCTACAAAGCTGAATTAATGAATAAATAATGGGAAAATACACAACAGAATCGCCACGGAGAGAAAGAGAGAGAGAGAGAGGGGGGGGGGGGGGAGGGGAGGGGTTGAGATCGAGTACGTCGAAAGTGTTTTAGGCGTCAACATCCGAATTTTTTAATTTATATTTTGTCAAATGTGAAATTGTATAATTTTTCAGACTATACAAAAAAGTGCATGCTATTTAACTTTTTTTCCTTTCCATTCTATATCTTGATTAGGTATCGAGTCTCAAGTATTCAGGATTTCACATTGCATTTGTTCTTTGGGGTAAGCATATAATTATAATCATTGATTTTGGACATAATCATCAGAACATTTCAGAATAATGCAATTGATCATGTAGTATTCGAGAAGTTGCGTCCAGGTGATTAATAATTATATTCATTGTGAATGTTGTTTTCTGAACTAAAACCAGTGGATTTTTAAAAAAGTTTAGTGCCAAAATAAAAATGCATCTTTCTCTTTGCGTGATGACATTTTTTCATAGAATCTGTCGAGGATCATTGACTCTTAAGCAGGGCTCCCACTTAGCCGAGTTGTATTAGCGAGTTATGGCGAGTTGTGGTGAGTTGCCTCAAAGAGGCACTCGAAATAACTCGCGAACAGCTCTTCTTGCAACTCGGGATAACTTGCAACAATTCGGTATGGCTTAGCGTAACTTTTTACAACATTCCACGACTCTCCTCGAAGTCTCGAGCAGTAATCGTTGTAACTCGGTGAGCTCTTACTAAACTCGTATTACTCGTAACAAGCTCGCACTGCACTCTTCATAACTCGTAGCAACTCGCCACCTTATGAAGAGTGCAACGCGAGCTTCTTACGAGTAATGCGAGTATATTACGAGTGTAAGTGAGTTAACCTCGAGTTACTTGGAACTAGGCTCGCGACTTCAAGGAGAGTCGTGGAATGTTGTAAAAAGTTACGCCGAGCCATACCGAGTTGTCGCGAGTTATCCCGAATTACAAGAAGAGCTTTCGCGAGTTATTGCGAGTGTCTCTTTGAGGCAACTCACCACAACTCACCATAACTCGCTAATACAACTCGGCTAAGTGGGAGCCCTGATTAACAATCCACCTTTAATTTTCCAGGTTTTATTTTACTTCAGTTGACATTATGGCTTTTGACGTTCCTCGTCATCTACTTGCTCATTCTCCCCATCATCAACAGAGAAGAAAATTGGGCTTGGAGACTTATCAAGAATCAGTGGTAAGAAAACATAGACCTTATTTAAACATACGGTATAAAGATATAAATTAATGATGATAAGATTCATTGAGGGCCGTTATTCGTCGGGTACTGACGCTCATAGCGCTCTACAAAGAATTATCTCAAACTAACTAAAAGTTCAATAAAAACTTATTTGGTTTAGGTTATATTTGGTCAAAAAGTATTTATGCCTACACTTTATGTTCTAGCTGTAACCTTGTGACTTTTTTATTCATCGATCTTATCATAGTCTTACGAATTATTATAGTTATCATCTCTTATTCGGGCAGCGAGGAGCCCGAATTACATTTTTGTTTAAAGATCGCCTTGCTTTATCAAATCAAAGTCTCTCTCTCGCTTCGCTCGCTTGCCAAATTTGGAAACTGAAAAGTTGATATTCGTGCAAGAAGCATCTACCCAGTACCTGTATGCACATGGCTGTTGAGTTTTATACTGCTAAGAAATTTTAAATCATCTCATATTCGCTGCTCCCATTTCAGGTTATCCGTAGTTGTCTACTTGGTTGTGTATTATAGTCAGGTGATCTCAGCGAAATTTCTATTTCTTCAGCAGCGAGGGAAAGAGCTCAGTATAGACAACAGGTAATCTGTCAATTTCGATTATTTGTTTTTATCACAATTTTTTTTTTCTCACAAAATGGACTTCATTAACAGGAGGAAGTAGTTCGCAGATACACGCTTGGATGAGATTTCGTGCTAAGCTCTTTTAAGATTACAATAATGATATAAGAAGTAGAAAACAACGATGAAGAAGAAGAAGAAGAAGAAGAAGAAGAAGAAGAAGAAGAAGAAGAAGAAGAAGAAGAAGAAGAAGAAGAAGAAGAAGAAGAAGAAGAAGAGAAGAAGAAGAAGAAGAAGAAAAAGAAGAAGAAGAAGAAGAAGAAGAAGAAGAAGAAGAAGAAGAAGAAGAAGAAGAAGAAGACATGACCTTAAGTCGCCTGTATTTATTATAAAATCTAGTGTGAATTCAATCAAAATGCATATTTCATCACAGTGTCTGCCTAGCACAAGGGGTTAATATTGTAGCCTACTTGTTTTTCAATTACACAATTTTAAAATGATACATGTTTACTGAATACTAGTTTATCAACAATTATAATGATAAACTAATAATACTGTTTTTTTTTTGCAGACGACTCTTCCACGTCCAAGTGTATTTCTTCTTCTTTGTTAACGTCATCCTCGGATTGGCATCCTGCCTTCTTCGGATATTTAAATCGGTACTCTTCGGTTTATTGCTGGTTGGTCGGATAGACCGGTGTTTATTGATGAGGGGTTTCGAGTTATATGATTCAGGTTGGTCACTTCAATTGTTGTTTGCTTTGATAAATGAGTAATTTGCTTACCAACTTTTTGTTTGACTTACTTCTTTTGTTGACTGAATCTACAATTCAAAATAGAATTTATAAAATAAACCTATATGCCATCTTAACATTTGCAATATTAGCCGAAATTGTCTGCAGTAGAGAAACGAACGCTAATATAATAAGTCGTCGCTTTTCCAATAGATTTTTGTAATATTCTATATGTAACAAAAAACATAGTGATTGCATGAACATAAAACTGTTCCGTTGATATGATTTTGTAACATATTTTCATGTTCTTTTTTCTCACTGTACCATTCTGTCATTCGGTAAAACACATCGAGATATCGATGGTATAAAACATGGTCACTTTCCTGAGGTACTTTGACAATACAGCCGTTGCTATTGTTAACATCAAGTTACCATTTTGATGTAATAGAATATTTTATGATTAAATCTACTAGTTTCAGAGTGGCAAAGAAGCAAAATTCTTATCTCTGATTATGATGATATTTCCATTCATGGTTACCTCCACCCAGGAGATGTAAATGGGTACCTGGCAGGAATTTATTCCTTGAAATGCTAGAGCGCCGTATAGCAGCCGTGCTAAAGCCAGGGTAATAATCGGGAGCGCCAGGAGGGTCAAATCTGACTGACATGAGCGCTATACAAAAACCCACTATTATTATTATTATTACTATTATTTACCATCAGGTTACAAGGCGTATTTGGGTTTCCTACAACTAGAAGTGGTTCATACGCATCCTGTAGTGATTACATTCTGTCATTATCTTCTCAAAACTCAGAGGGATAAGAAAGATAAAGTCTTTGAATTCAGCGAAGATGAGGAAGGTAAGAAGAATTTTTTGTTGTTACCATAGTAACGGATATTTTAAGGAGCAAAATAAAATTACATCGTGGCGTTTCAACAATGAAGTTAGGCAATCTTGGAGAGAATGAGATTTCGATCAACCTTCCGCTAACAGCAATGTGTTTCAATTAGATATGAGTTCTTCTCATCATTTGGCATCTTTATCTGGATTTGTAAGCAACACTAGTCTGATAATTTATTGTATTATTGTGATGGCTTTATTGAAATGGTTTAAGTTGTCTGTAAGCTAAAATAAATCATTTGCGTATGGTCTGAAGAAACCAATTGTGGAGATAGCTCGTCACTTTGACGAGTTTTCCTTTTCATTTATGAGACTTGAATTGATTGATGCAGGAATCATTATATCTTTTGAGGAATTCTATGTCATCAGCCCAACAATAAAAAAAGGCAGTCGTATAAACCATTGGGTCAAAATCATTATGTTCAATAATGTTGACCCATGGGATAGACATAAGGAGATGTGCGGGTATAGAAGGGGGAATCCATTTTGTTCCCGCACCTCTTTTGATTTTAACAACCGGTGGAAAAGGGTTAACACTTACAATACTTCAAATTATTACAATTTATACATTATTCATCTACTTAATTACGAAATTTAGTCCCTTTTTTGTTCTTGCAGTTGATCTTCCGATTCCAAAGACGGTGAACGTAAGAGCGCGAAACCGTTGGTACCTCATTTACACCCTAGTACGAAACAACCGTCTGCTTGCCGAGCGATTTGATACTATACTCAACGCTAAGAGGGATGAAGTGAAGAGACAAATCAAGGAAGAAAAACAAAAGAAGGATGAGAACATAGTGAAAGATGCCGTCAAAACGTTCGTCAAAGATGACGTCACCAGCAATGATGAAGTTGGTGAAGAGGTGAGAACCAGCGGGTGTGATGACGGTGGCGTTGTCGTAGAGGTCGCTTCCGTGAACTCGTCAAATTTCAAGTTGCAAGATATGGATAGAAGAGATGATGAACGACTGGTGCTTTTAGCCAATACACCCACCAATGCAAGGACTAGCTATAATGCAATTCATCCAAAGCTAAAGGTATAAGTGTGTTGGGACTTGTAGTTTAAAGGCTTATGAACATCTTGCTCACATAATTCATGCAGAGCTGTACTCATTCACGACCATAATGACGATCATCATGTTGCACTGGTAAAGGCTAGGCATGTTCATCTGCAAGGGAATTTTACCTCATTCATTTTGTTCGTATGTTTGTTTTCTGCTGTTGTTGTTATCATGACACTTATAAATACTACATTTAGATATTCATTCATGATGGTTGTGGTTCATCTTATTGCTTACAACGGTGTACCTATGGGGGCACGAACCCCATCAAGGGGTAGGCATTATCGACGAGCGGTAGGAGAGGCACGTTTCTAACAATAGCCAAAGCTCTATCCTCAACCCTACACACCATCTATATACGTGGATTGGGCAGAGGGTGCTGCTTATTGCAGCAGAATTGTACCTTAATTTCTCAGTGTGTAACCCTAATCCCATCATGCCTCTACCACTGATTAGATATCATATCCTATACCCTATAAAATTGCTGAAAAGGAAAAAAGGAAAAAAGGAAAAAGAAAAGGATTGGAGAAAAAGTAATTAAAAAAAAGAAGAAGCTTATACGACAACCCTTTCATTTGTGATTCATCTACCAGGTAAAAACAGTGCCCGAAACCCCCGCCATCTCTCTCTCTCTCTCTCTCTCTCTCTCTCTCTCTCTCTCTCTGGCCCTCTCTCTACCCCTCTATCTCTCTACCTCTCTACCTCTCTCTCTCTCTTTCATGGTGCCCGGTGCCCCTCACTCTCTGGACCCACATGTTGCCCCAACGATGAAGACCTCGAACATACGTCTTATCATTACCATTATGGTACAGCATCCACCATAAACGTGTTAATGTTCTTACATCACCTAACGTAGACAACAAGAATAGAAATAATTCATTACTCTGTAAAGTGTCACAATAAACTGCATAAATAGCCCTTGCTCGTTTAATTTTTTAAAAAATATATATACATGAGATACCAGTCTTCTGCCTCGAAAACCGATATCAAAGCGGGAACAAAATGTCATACACCTTCGTAAGCGCCAGCCTGGAAATGTAGTACCTGCCACCAATCTTGCCCATTTGTAATGTAATTCATTTCAGATCTTTATTTATCAGATTTTCAATCAAATCTTGGAGAAATTAACAACTGCTGATTGCTGTGTTTTGGGTTTCATTTTCATCATAATATAAGGTGAACTCATGAAGACGGTTAGTAAATTTGGTAAAGGGGAGAGGAGGGGCTGATGGAAAGATGTATCACATGCATTCCCGATTATTTGATGTTGAATAAATAAAAAGCACAATTTTAGGAAGAAACTTTCCTTTAAAACAGAACACTGACTTAAAGGGATCCGGTAACTTTGTCTTAGATCCTTTAGAAATAATCCTTGATTTAGCTCATGCTGCAATGATAATTATAAACCTTAGGTCAGCCAGGAATTCCATGACTTTTACAAGCCGATCGCCTGTCTGATTATCAAGATATTAATGATTGGAATTACAAATTTTGAAAACCGTTCGCCGAACGTTTTTCATAACACTACAGTCTAATGGGGAAAACGAGTATGGTAAAACCGGTCACTCAAAGATTTTTACTTTTTTGAGGCACTTTTTGATTATTTTGAAGCGCGATTTTTTTTTAGGGCTTCAATGTTACACCATCTCACAGACACTGGTAACATGTAGGACCGTGTGTCTCAGATTTAACATTGTTAAACGATCCCTTTAAACAATGTTGTTTCTGAATGGTAGAACAGAATATTGGTCTGACCAATCCGTATAGTCTGGATATAACAGAAATATTAGATACATTAGACAGATTTTATTCCGTTTATTTCTGTGTATGTTATTAGAAACTACCTTATATTTAACTCTAAATAATTGTGTTTCATAATAAATAGTATGCGTTCCATCAAATCATTCCATTATGAAATTTTCATTGTGTTATAGAATTGCCAAACAACACAAAATTGTTCTGCACTGAAACCACATAAAAATCACCCTGTTTTCCACATAATGTACAAGTCTCACATTTTGTAGTAGTGATGTTTTGTTATCATGTTTATAATAACTACCATTGTGTTTCGTATTGATGTTATGTTACGTGTTTATTAAATGTGTTGTTTCATATTACACGAATCTCTTATGAGCTCCAGCATTTCAATACAATGTTTATATTCTACATGACTCACGTCTGTCAGCTCCACATAATAGGGACTTTTAGATTCGCACGAAGACAATAGGTCTATGCTACGATCGACGTCCTTTTAAAGCACTGCTGTGAATGGAAGTACCACGTATCAGTCCTCGCAAATCTAAAAGTCCCTATTATATCCCAGGGGCAAACCTCCAAAATTAAAATGTCAAATAAGATAGTGTGGGAGGGAGGTTAGAGAGAGGGGACAAGATAGAAGGAGGAAAAAAGAGAAAAAGAAGGAGACAGAGAGGAGAGAGAGAGAGAGAAAGAGAGAGAGAGAAAGAAAGAAAGAGAGAGAGAGAGAGAGAGAGAGAGAGGGGGGGGGGGGGGGGGGGAGGAGGGAGGAGGGAGAAAATGAGACGACGTTGGCACGATGAAAAGAATGAAAATCATACACGCTACATGAGTTATTTAGATGCATCATTTCATTGCAATGTTTGTAATGCATGCCATTTAGTGTTTGGTCACCTCCAACTTGTTTCATTGTTAAAACGCTGAAAGGCCAGAATCAAATGTCAAATATGAAGAGAGAGGGGGTGTGTCACGGTGTGTGTGAGTGAGTGAGTTGAGTGACAGAGAGAGAGAGAGAAAGAGAGGGGGAATGGGGGAAGAAGGAAGAAGGGGGGTGGTTGAGAGAGACATTTTGAAGTTAAAAAGAATAGTGTTCAGCAGTATTCTTATTGTAACCAACAACTGGAACAGGATTGGCCAAACTCTGTAGATAGCTGATATATATGTATTAGTGTCCCTTCTATAATATGAAGGGATACTATCAAGTATCATGTATTAGTGTCCCTTTTGTATGTAGTATCAGCGCCCGCTTTTGGCAATCCTTGAATCTGAATGACATGTATTGTAAACGCCATACAACTCTAAATCAATCTTCAGTTTATAAACAAATGATAGGTTACATAAATACACTAAAATAACATAATACCATGTATTTGAAGCGTAGAACAGAAGTATTGTGAAAGGGGAAAATGTAGTGAGAGATATTGTAATATAAGTTATAAAGTATCAAAAGTAGGATCATCATTAGCATCATTGATGTCCCTAAAGATATTGTAAGTAAGTGAATAAAATATGAAGTAAATTTTGTAAATAAATACTTTCTGTCAAAAAATACAGGGTTCCGAACCACAGGTCTTTTCCATCACACCATCGACAGCTTTGATCGAAGATGAGCGAGAAACGAACTTCATGACGACATCGGATTATGGTCCGAGCTCGGGAGCGTCGCATCCTGATTCGACATCGCAGTCGGGATCGACTGCGGAGACGTTGTCGACAATCAGCATCCCAGAAAGTCTTCAAATGACACCATCGCCTTCTCCTTTGAAGGAGGAGGACAAGACTGAGATCGCGAAACAGGAAGAGAAAAATATTTCAGGAGATGCTGAGCCCTATGTTTCAGATGGATCGCAGGCGAGATCAATGAAAGGTGAACACGGGATCTCGAACTCATCAGCTACGCCTCTAGTCATTGAAGACGACGAGATTGTCCTACCCGGCACACCGACCATGACAACAAAAATGTAATTAGTGAAATACATTAGAATATAAAGTTAGGAAATGAGAGAAAAGTAGGCCTTTAAGAAGATAGAAACAAAGACGAACACTAAAAAATAGGTGGATATTATGTAGAATGTATTGAGGATCATCGCAGGCCAGGGCGAAGACGACATAATTATGATGGCATGTATCCTGGACCTGGACAACAAAAGGAGGTCTTGTACGTCAGCAGGAAGATTTCCAGTTGAGTTCTGGTACTTGACTATTTTGACCCAAAGTCAATTTTAATTCAGTCAGTTTAGGAGTGACAATGGTCAAACCGATGAGCAAGCCAGTTCAATGCTGCACTGACTTTAAGTGCCGATGTACAAATCGGAACAAAATCCTGAATCCACTGCATTATGAACATCCAAAGGGGTGCTGCGGAATATGGTATGTGGTATAAAACCCAGGAGGTTAGAGATATATCAACATTGCTTGAAAGGAGTTTCGCATGATGGACATAATGAAAAGGCACATATTTCCTTTAAGAATTATTCCAACTTCCACTTGTATTATTTTGGCTATGATGTCAGGCTGATGTTGGTTTTTATAGATTTCATTTTTAAACTTTTCTTGAATAATTGATGTTAAACATTTTCAATCATTTGAGTATAAAATGCTTTGGGGGGATAATTGAGTTTCTATTGTGTTAGATAAAGTGGCATATCCATGTATAGTGTATTTATAGTAACTGAGAGGACCTTTTATGGGGGGGGGGTGCTGACAAGGAGGAGGATCATGATGTAACTGTAAGGGGTCTTCTTATTACCTTTTCTTCACATTACCTCTTTCTCCCTCCCCCTTTACACCATTTCAATGGGGGGGGGGGGGGGGGGAACGATTGATTGGTTCTGTGTTCTCAGTAGCTTTATGTACGGTTAGAAATCCAGATTTGTAGTCTCCTGTGATATGTTAATTTGTATTAGTAATAATACATTTCTTTATAATAGTCAGATGGCTCAGCGAAATTACCTTTACTTGCCGCATTAAAGCACCATTTTTGGTACAGGGCTTCCTAAGGACCTACTGAACGATATTAGGCTAGGAGCCCCCGGCAATAATATCATATAAGGGTGCGGGGCGAGGCGTCGCCTCGTAGCCCCCAAAGAATTTAGAAGTAATATAACATTGATTTGTTATACAATTGTCTGGGGGCTCCAAAAAGACGCCCCCGCCCCCACACCCTGTGTGTTGTTAAGGTGTTTTTATACGGCAAGTATAAATAATTAAGTACAAATTAATACATTTGACGCTAAGCCAACTGACTATATTAACTGGTTCGCTTCTTGTTGTTAACAGTTTCTGCATGTTTATGACTTCACAAAATATGCTGATGTACTGATTTTACGCTTTCGGGATGCATAATTATTATTATTTTTGTAGTCCGATGTTGTCAAGATCGCCCGTAATTTTTTTTCTTTCAATTACTGATATTACTGATATAATGGTGAGTTTTTATGTTATTTTCATTTATTTTGCAAACTGCTGACTTAAACTTAAAGTGATAACATGGCACCGATGAATAGGGAAGTGATACTCGATTCTGTTTTCAATAGCTTGCACCTGCAATTTTTGAATAGTTACGTAACAAACTACTCAGCTCTTTTTGACATGGAATTAATAATTAATGAATTGAAAAAAACCCGACCCTCTCTTCATCGAGCGAATATTTTGTCAATTGCGAGGATTACCAAAGAGGTAATAAGAGCATTCCTGACATTGCAACATTGACCGCATTATTTTGATGTATTGTTCCTAAAGGTACGACTGCCAGCTTGCTGACGACTAGTAATTTCAACAATAAATATTACGATTTTTTAAATAATAATAATCAATTGTAATTTCAATAAAATCATATGCTATTTCAAAATGCATCCTCTTGTCTTTTAACATGTGTAAGGCTTGTCAATAAAATCCATAAAAAGAAAGGCTGATCTCCGCTGGCATTCGTTTGACATAATTTTTTTTTATAAAACCAAGCTTTGCGTCGGAGTATAGCCTATTTAGCTTGGCATTCTTAATTGCTACATAGGGCCTGTTTTATAAAACTTGACTGACCATAGTTGGCAACTATAAAAGACTCTCTAGTTGTCAATTAGAGTTTTAGCAATTCAGAACCTTCAAGATAGCCGTCTTGGAAGATAGTAACACAAACTCTATATCCTAAGTAAAATGTTATAAAGGGTTTAACAAAGGGTTGTCTTGAGAACCGCTTCCATCTTAAGCATGGGGTCCAGGGGCTTTCCCTATATAGAGCCCCTTTCGGGTCAAAGGGGGAAAAGTCCCGCCGGGTGTCCAGGGGACTGATCGACCTCCGGACACTTTCAAGTTTTAGCAATTGAGAACCTTCAAGATAGCCGTCTTGAGCGATAGAAACTCTAATTTGAGGGGGGAAGGGCAGCGAGAAACAGAGAGAGAGGGAGAGAGAGAGAGAGAGAGAGGGGGGGGGAGAGATAGAGAGCTGGAAAAAGACAAGCTAAGAGGATCCAAAACACCCAATTAAGTTAGGTATGATCAGAAATTCGATCCACTCATTCAAATTGTTGCCCTTTAAGTTGGAATATTTTTCCCAACCTCTGTTCATGAAATGATTGTCACAATATTGTTTATTATCGAAAGGTAGAGTTTATGTATTCTCAGAACTCTTTTGATTAAACAATAAAGTTCTGAGAATATATTACTGTATCTATCAATAATATTGTCACAATCGTTTAATGCAAAATTATGACGGAAAATTATTCCAACTTTATGGGCAACAGTGTAGCTTGGCGCCAAAGCCCGATAGTTTTTCTTCCTATTCGGCCAGTCATATCAGCATTATTATTGTTGTTGTTGGTGTAAGGGAAAGGGGGCTAAAGCAGAATGTCAATGGATTTCCCACAAAAGAAGGGAAAAGGGTCTATGGGGGAGGGTTGCATAAAACTATCAGGGAGTCGTGGGGGAGGTCATTCCTAAAAACTATATAATTTTTGTTGTGTGTGTGTATAAGCCAATTGCTTTTGCATCCAAATCCTAATTATTTGTTTAAATTACTTTTATTGCAATGTCCCGACTAAATCATTCTTAGTTGTCAATTAGGCCTTTAATAGGTATAGGGCTCGGAGCCTCGGACCAAATCAAAATGCCATTCATGAAACCTGACTAGGTTGAAGTTGAAGGATAAAATAGTAAAGTGAATGACTTGGAAACATAGTTTACGCTTGTAAAATTTGCAGAGGACAATAACTTGATGTTATGAAGTCATAATTTATCGTCAATCCTCTGCCTTTCGGCACAGTGTATGCATTGCGATCCCAGGCCAGGCGGCGAATTTTTTTTCCGTACTCGAGAGAGCAAAAATCCCATGTGCGCATGCGCGTGGACTTATGATTTCTCTGCTACTTCCCATACGAAATGTACATGTACTGTGCACGATTCGCGTTCTACGAGTAAACGATGGCATAGTAGTCTTCAAACACAGACTCTGATTTGCCAGTTTGACAAATCAATATGCGTATGTGTCGCGATGTGCTTATTCAAGTCTGTGTAGTTGTATGATTCAGACCCAGTAGTGCATATGGAAATACATTGCAACTTGTATAGAATGGTATAGTAGTCTGCAAGCACAGACGCTAATCTGACAGTTTGACAACATACTAGTAGTGTGCTGAGAAGTACTTTATTCAAGTCGCCAACTTGTATAGAATGGTATAGTAGTCTGCAAGCACAGACGCTAATCTGACAGTTTGACAACATACTAGTAGTGTGCTGAGAAGTACTTTATTCAAGTCTGCGTAGATGTATGATTCAGACCCTACTGGTGCGTGCGTTAGAAATGCATCTCAATGTGTAGAGTGTAGTATAGTAGTCTGCAAGGACATAATAATATATTGTGTATTGATGAGTAGTGATTTTATGCAAGTTTGTGTAGTTTAATGATTCCAGACCCCATGGTAGGCCTATGTATTGTGCCACTGCTCTCTCACACTCTTTCTCTCTCTCTCTCTCTCTCTCTCTCTCCATATCTCTCTCTCTTTCTCTCTCTCTCTCTCTCTCTCTAGCCCTCCCTCCAGTATGCTCGCACTCTCTGTATTACTTTTATTTATAATCATGGTCTGCTGAGAGCCAGAAGGATGTTAACTCTTAACACAACGAATGCCCTTCTGGCTCTGAACAAACCCACACACCATGAGGTCATTTATTGGCCTTCTCAAAACCGTCATTCTGTAATAATATTTCTAACTTTGAATATTTGTTACAAACTCAACCAACTTGCTAAATAAAGGATAGTCTTGCTGTGTTAGCAGATATGATAAAGTTTAAGATTGAATATAATTTGTAAATTATGTCAGTGAATTGTGGGAAATTGTTGTTATAAAGCACTACTCAATACACAATAGGCCTATATTATTCTGTCAAACTGTCAAAGGAGAGTCTGTGCTTGCATACTACTATGCCACTCTATAAGTTGAGGTGCATTTCCAATACACGCACCAGTAGGGTCTGAATCATAAAACTACTCAGACTTGAATAACACTATTTTGTCAAACTGTCAGATTAGCGTCTGTGCTTGCAGACTACTATGCCACTCTGCAAGTTGAGATGCCTTTCCAATACACGCACCAGTAGGGTCTGAATCATAAAACTACACATATTTGAATATAAAGCACTACTCAAGACACTATGTTGTCAAACTGTCCGATTAGCGTCTGTGCTTGCAGACTACTATACCATGCTATTCAATTTGGGATGCATTTCTGTAAGCACTAAAAATGTCTGAATCATACAACTACTCAGACTTGAATACTAGTACTATTGCTACGCACGATATATGCGTAATTGTTTTGTCAAACTGGCAAATCAGAGTCTGTGTTTGAAGACTACTATGCCATCGTTTACTCGTAGAACGCGAATCGTGCACAGTACATGCGAATACATGTACATTTCGTATGGGAAGTATAGTAGCAGAGAAATCACAAGTCCACGCGCATGCGCACATGGGGTATTTGCCCTCTCGCGCTCGAGTACGGAAAAAAAATTCGCGGCCAGGCGAGTGAAGGCTTTTTCGGATACTGTTTTGAGAGATAGCTAAGTAGTACCTTCGCTCAGCTCAGTGTTTGCAGCTAGCTGATTAGTTTGGTTCTTCTTGCAACTGCGAATCAAAAAGCTACGAAGGTAAGAAAAATCTCCTTATTTACAGAATAATTTCAAGCTAAGAAATGTTAAAATATACGTTGATGTGTTTGGTAGGAACAGCATATTAGTCTTAATTTTTAACCAAACATGGAACCGAGCTGTGCGGGTGTACGTTTGATTATTGTGTGCATGGAACCTTGCAGTTGATCACCCCACTAGCTACGGCGCGTGACCATTGATGCTTCGCCTCTATTGGCGATCTCTAAAAAGTATGAATGGGACTAAGGGAGCACATATTTATGTGTGCGCACCTAAGTAATGGCATATTTCATTTGAAATTAACAACTACTTTCTATTGTATGCCCCTTATGCCTGATTTCAACTTATCGCTTATATTCTGGAGTAAGTTTGCTGCATTTTTTGTCAAAATGAGAACCTTTTAATGTAATTTAAATTCTCACAATAAAATTAAAAAACTAAAATTAAAAACATGTAAAACTAAAAAGGCAACAGTTTCATTTTACCATTTAATTGGCATTGCACAAACAAAGCAAGGTTATCATGTACATTTATGTTCACTCATTCATTTAACGCGCAGCTCAGGATGCTCGTAGTGAAAGATAGCATTTCGAAGCTTGTTTACATTAAATTCAAAGAGTAGGGTAGCGCGCACGGTATTCGATTAGACTCTACTCTCTAGACAGCCATTTTAACAGCTGTAACAAACTAAAAAAATAATTTATGAGCCACGAAACTTGCACAAATCGGGCAGCTGAGTAAATTATTCTAACTCTCAAAATTAAATCAGGTATAGGTCTAGGGCCCTGGAAAGATCTCCAACTTAATTCGAAATCGGATAGTGTCGCACAAGTTTTTGTACTTCCGGGTTCTGTTAGCACATGCGGTAACATGCATAGCCATATGTAGAAGCCTATTGTGAAACAACTACGTGTGCTGGTGCGATGAATTTCAAATGTGTTTAAAGAGTATCACTTCCGTGTTCACTCCATCGCAGCGAATTTGCAAATGACGCACTTACCGAAGTACAAGAGGTATAATATTTATACAATACCCTTGCCATGCGGTGCGCTCGCCCAGTATTCGGTCAATGCACTGACATTCAGTGCTTTGTCGCGCAATTGTGTGAAAATAGTGTACAAATACGCTTCGCTCCTTGTCAACGGAGATACCACGCACAAATCGTGTGACTGAATTCTATTCGGCGCGACCAAATTCTGGGCAGAAAACAGCTCCTTCTTCTTTCGGGAATAATTTGCTTATCATCGTTCTATTTTTTAAGTGACTTTAAAATCCTGTTAGAGGACTAATTTTCTTTTCTTTTGATGGGTAGATTGCCAAATAAAGGAAGTAAGAATTCAAAATATTTGCAATTTTCCCTTAAATGACCAAAAACCGGGCGCTCTACTCTACTAGAATTTGAAATTTTTCACTGTTTTCACTGAATATTTTGTTAATGAATAATATCATGCACCACAATACAATTAGAGAAATATGTGTTGGTTACTTTAGAAAAATGATTAGAAATGCGTAACTATATGCATTTGCATTATGCACATAGTCATAGAAGGATGCTCCACTCTATCTAGGGGTGGTATTCTGAGCATGATTTTATCTCCCCCAAAAAGGTTTGATTTTATCTTTAAAAGATAATGGGTATTCTTATTCTAAGACAAATTTTATCTCAGATTTTGATATTTATCTTGTATCTTAACTCACTCTCCTCTCAAGTGAGCATTATTACTATTAAAATAGTATTAGCCACTATGCATGATATGCTCGCCTGAAGCACTGACGCCCTTCTTACTAACTTAGTTTGTGTGAAAATTAAAATAAAACTTAAAATAGAGTAGGGGCTATTTTATCGCATGGGTGGATGGATGGCACATCATGACATGAAAACTGTGCGACATTTTAAAATAAGTATGCTGCTAGATGTGTGACGAAAAAAGTGGGATACCGATTGGCTTGGGCCCATGTGTAACCAACGTGCTGCTGGCCGGGTGCAATTTTCCTTTTTTTCCTCTTTTTTCCTCGGATAACACTCCACTGATTGAAATTGCCAATTTGAGATTCACATCTAGATTTAGTGATTTCATTTTTCAAAGTTTTATAACTCTTTTATTATTGACCATATTTATTTCAAGCTTTTACCATCCTGTTTCTCTTGTTTTTTCCGTTTTCATACAAATAATTTTTACAGAGGTTGGATTGCTCTGTGACATGACTTTGACTCACTAAATGAAAATTTCTCGAACATTGTTGGTCAGGTCACATTTTTGTTAAATGTACGCAATCTTTTAACAAAACCTTGACACATCCCCATCCAATTACCCATAAATTTAGAGACAAGGTTAGGTAAATTAAGGTCACTCTTTCCATAGGTGGTGGCAAGTACACAAAAGTACAGAAACAAATTTTAAAAGTAGAGCTATAAGAATAGTAAAGAAAGAAAGGAAGTGGCCTATATTAATCTTCCTGGCACAGGAAAACAGTCTTTATTCATATCTAAAACCCTTTTAATCTGCTTTCTGTTGTAGAGATCCTGTGCTGGAGACCAATGTTTCATTGTGCATGAAATCAGAATGAAAACTTCATGTGACGTTCATCTTCAAAGACGATAGTGAACTCAATCTTGTGTGTGATCTACCTTAAAGACTACCATCATGAGCAAAGCTAAGGTTGAGAAGACGGTCTATACCGTACCTGGGTATGTATTAATGAGGGATTCATAAGCTTATTAAAGAAGTGTAGAATATGTACATGTATTGACACAGTTTCTGACTGTACGTGATCTCACTGACTGTATCTCAATAGGCAATTTTCGCAATGTAAGCAAATTTTGTACATAAGTTTTTCATTCACCTGATTAGAATAATAGTATTTTAATAGACAGAATCCGAACTGCATACATTAGTTGTTACCAGGTAGGACAAACATGGCTTAACCTACCTAGCAAGTCTTAAAGGTAAAGACCAGTTCTGGTCATGCGATTGCATTGTGAAATCAACATTGTGAAATCGATCAGAAAAGGTTGATCATCTAGCATATAAGTATTGGTGTGTACTGCAAGGTTCTGGAATCATGAAAATGATAATTAATTTGGCCCAGTCTTGGTACAGTTACAAGCACTGTACACAGAAAGATAGATGGGACTATGGGATATCTATCCATTCCGGATAGATATAAAAATTTACCAAATATATCAATTAGTAGGCGGTTTCCCGGCAAAGTTTGTATCATCACGTGTTAGTCGAAACATATTCTTTCACATAATTGGTACATGTAATAAGAGCTTCCATTTCATATTTTGAGAGGGGGGAGTTTCCAAAACTGGTCTATACCTTTAAAACTAAAGATGATAGACAAATTATCCTCCAAGTTCAAACAGAAATCTGGACATCGGCAGCTACATGTAGTTTACTCCTCGTTTCTGAGTGGTGAGTTGACGGTGACACCCTGTGTATGATTGAGCTGGGAAACATTTTTACTCCCTGTACCATGCCGGTGCTTTTCCAGGCACGGGTAAGCGCCGGCCAGTACAGTGCCAGATGGGGGGCGTAAATCAGAAGAAAACAAAAATGGCGGCCGTGTATTCTAGTATGAGAATTGTACTCGAGTAGTTGTCAACAGTGTGAGTACTTGAATATTCAAGTACTCCTCGCAGCATTAGCTTCTAAGCCTTCTATGCCTACGGTAATACATGTAGTAAATCTATGGAGGAATCCTTTTTGCATGATTAAGTTTTACTATGTTTTGAGTTGTCAAGACCAATTTTTGTTCAAGAAGTTTACATAAAAATAGTAATTAGGTCTATTACACTGCTGTTTTTGAAGTTTGGGGAGTAATTTACCCAATTTCGTTCAAGTTTTGTCGTTGAGGAGTTATTATTTCATGTGTTCACAGATTATGATATCACCTACACTGTATATAGAGGTGTGATGTCTTTATATATTTTCAGAGAATAGTAGTCTGTCTGGGAGGGCCCTAAGTTCAAAACCTAGTTGATGTGCCTGTGTTTAAAAAAAAAATGAAAATATACTTATTTCATGAATATTCCTTTAATGTAGCTTAATATAGAGCCCTGTAATTATTTAAAGCCCTAGGTCCACTGGTTGCCAATCTACAAACATTGCCTTTGTATACATGTACATGTACATGTACGTAGTAGTCAGGTTAAATTATATGTGAAAGTTAATTTACAATGTAATATGTCTGTAGTATGGTGTGCATGTACATACAAAGTATTTGTGTACAAAACATTTTGGCTTGTGCTACAATAATAGCAAGTACATTTGTCTGTACAGTGGACATTCAATTTTTGATCAAATTTAAAATTTCTTTTACTGGACTAGACTTTGTTCACCCCACAAAGTATCTTAAAAACAGCTGGGTAAATCCATTTGATATTATATGTAAGTATACATTAGTTTTGTAGACAAAGTGAACATTTACAATATTTGATTTGCCCCCTGCTGTAATATTTGAAGAGGGAGATTTGGAAGGCCGAGTACCATTTCTAGCTGCATGTATACCTGTTAATACGCTCACAGTTGCCAAGATCACTATTGTTCCTGTATCCCAGCTCAACCGTTAGCCTATATAAAGCCTATTGCCCTTTTGAAAGAATGAGAGGGAAGGGGCGTGCGACAAAGGGGGTGTGTTTGTACTTCAATGAGAGAGGATAATAGGGTGAAGTTATCCAAAGAAAGTTATTGATTTGTGTTGGAGGACAGGGAGCTTAACTGTGCAGTGGTACTGTTCACGTTTTCCGCTGGCCTTGAAATGAATATATTTGTGCCGTAATTAAAGTATCTCTCCCATTCATCAGGCAGAGATATATATTGTGCATTGCACCATGGGTATGTCGGTTTATACATGTAGGGACAATCGCTGACATCGCAGTACATTGTGTAATTTCAGATGACTACTATTGAATTCAGAGTTTCTGTTTACTGTCATTCTCTCCTGTCAGGTTTTATCAGTAGGATATGAGCTGTGTTGAAAGTATTAAGCAAATGCTGACTATTCAAAAGCCCCTCAAATGTTTTTGCCAGATGTTTATTAGTACTTACGAATGGAAAGGTATAGTTTACTTCTAAACTTCTTCACATATAAAAGAAAGGAAATAATGAAACACAATACTCAGAACAAACAAAGTACATGTAAGGTCGAGTAATCAGTAAGTGAACAAATCACGAGGTGAAATACGATCCAATACACCTGGCTGACTGCTTTTAGCTCAAAATATATCGTTTCATTTTTGAAGCAAAAAACCCTTTCCTTTGTTATTTTAATGATTTATGATCGTGTAACTTTATCATACCTGCTATTAAAGGGCAAGTCCGGCCCATTTGCAAGTTGAATGAAATAAGTAGAGGACCAGTGAAAGTTTCATCGAAATGGGATTAAAAACCAGAAAGTTACGGAAATCTAAAGTTTCTTAAAACTTCATGAAACAGTGGTACACTGTATGTAGGTTGTACAGGTGTATGTCACAATTAGTGAGTTGAGGATATCATCCCCTCATCTTTATTTTTATGTTTTGCACATACCAGTAGATGTAAATTTAACAAATATATCACTTGTCTGCTCTGGTAGTGTAAAACATAGCTTGGATCCTCATGGAATATGTGGCCACTTGACTGTACCATACAAGCTGAATATTAAAATCTCATGTTGCATGTATACTGATAGTTGACCTCTAAATGCTTCACCAGATGTCACCTGTGCAGAGTGGCTACTCTGATCTTTGACAAACTAAATAGTACAATATCGGATGAGTGCCACCAGTCAAACCATTAAATTAAATCTCTCTCCTCTTCTTCATATGAGTAATCTGCTTCCCTTTAACATTGAAGATTCTACGGTTTAATTCATTTATATCATTTGATGTGATACATGTACATGTAGGTCCAGTGTGCAATATCTGATGAGTGCCACCAGTTAAACCATTAAATTAAATCTCTCTCCTCTTCTTCGGATGAGTAATATGCTCCCTACACCATTGAGGATTCTACGGTTTAATTTATTGTTTCATTTGTTGTGATATATAGTTCCAGGATGACTACTATGCTCTACTCCCTTGACAAGCTAAACAGTACGAGCTCTGAGGATGTGGATCAGTTACGCTATATCACAGCAAAGATACAGCACTGCCTCAAAGATCATGGTAAGTTAACAAGCCGATTTAAATCGGTTTCCCGATATTTTTTTTCCCCGATTTCCCCCGTTATTTCCTGATTTTTCCCTTATTTTCCGGATTTTTGCCAATTTGTCCAATTTATTTCTCCAATTTTCTAACTCAAAAATGTTGTTAGATGCCATTTTTTTCCTGAATCCTTTTCTTTTTTTTTACTCAAGGGGGGGGGGGGGGTGGCTGGGAAAAAAACTCATCTATTTTGTTGTAGTGCTCACTATCACCCCTAAAGCCTGCTATTAAATCAGGCACATAAAAATCAGCTTGCAATTGATTATGAAAATCTAAGTGTATCTCTACTCTTGCTACAAGTGATTTTATCCAACAGTTATTGATATCTTTCTGTAACACAAAAATGACAGCAATTTGCTTACAAAAACGATTGTAAAGGTAGAATTTATTAGAAATTTTGTTATTGTTTTAGATACAATCAATCATAAATCTTTGTGCTACAGCCCCCCCCCCCCTCCAAATGATACTAGTTGTTTATGAAATGGGTTAAATTTCACCATTGTTTGAATCTCCTATACAAAAATTTAAACAATTACTATACTATCAAGGCTCAGAATTTGCAGTTGCCCATTTACGATCGATTAAGCAATCTGAAATTCTTGCCCTATGTGATCTAGATGCCAAATACATTTTTCTGAAAAAATGAATGTTAGCATTGCTCCAAATAAACTTGAAACTAGATGGTCACCAAGACTTAAATTTGGCAGCACTACCAGTTATCCAGATTACCAGACAGTAACCCGAATCACATATAAATGTACACTGTTTGAAATTCAATATTAGCCCTGGTGAAGCATATTCCACGAGTGTGACACCCTGCACACATTTCACCGTGTTTCTTGTTGAGCAGGTCACCTGTAATAGCACCTGCCTTTCCTGAATTTTATCGGCCTACTTACTTTTGTGACCATTATTGCACTCTGGCCCTTTGAGTGAACTGTGTTCTTGTTCATTGTAGAGATGTAGGCTCGTATGCATAAGGATGGACTTAGTGACCGTGGTTTAATTCAGTTCATTGATTTATGGAGTACAAAGTGTCAAACTCTTTATTCTCTACAAATCATAATAATGATAAATGATAAACTGGATTTATGTAGGGCTTGATACGAAACACAGTCTCTTAGCAATGTACAGACAGATATTATTGTTATTACCCTCGTCATCAGATTCATTCATGCACAGTGTGCACCATCTCCACTCCCTGGGGAATATTCCTAACATATGGTCACCGTGAGGGATATATGGCAATTACAACCACAGGTGCTTTCAGGTCCCTATTTCTCTCCTGGGTATCGAGTAGCAAATGTAGATTAATGACTTGCCAAAAGACATTAGTACCATGTCTGGGATAAAACCCATGATCTTTCAATTTCAAGTCAAATATGCTCAAACCACTCAACTACGACACTTCTATTCTGTAAGAAAATGGATGGATAAATGGATGTAGATACCGACTATTTCTATTTTGGAGGATAATTTCCTCTCGTTTTCTGAAAGCATCTATATACAAACATGTCAAATAAACCATTCCTGTAGTCTGGCTTTAGAAATTCTTAAGTCCTGTTGTGGAAGGTTTGCAGGAAATGAATCCAGTCATAAATGAATCGAGGTATTGACTTCATAGTGACATGGTTTTGTCTGTTTATTCAATAACGGAATGATAGCAATTTTTAAAGGATGACATCGGATGAAGAGGTTGACAATAAATCAATAGACTATTAAAGTCTACCCACTTAAACCTGGACTAAAGTTAGTACACTTCAATGAATACCATCCACAGGATCGACGTTACATGAAACACTAACTTTTAAACTCTCCATGTACATGTATGGTCTGTGCAGTGAACTCCTGTGTATACATTCATTGTTGCCAAAGTGGTAATGGTAATGGATACTTTGCATGTTTACATTCTACCGTCTTGATTGCACTTTACAGAGAAGGTCAGAAAAGAGGTCATGTCCAAAGCAACCAACGGCTTGGAGATACTCTTCTCAACGTTGGAGGTAAGCTATAGCCAAATAAAATTCAAGCAATTAGCTCCCAATTTATCTTATTTTGTGTTATTAGAGTGTAGGTCGAATTGACAGGGTTCTGAATACTTGTCGTCATATTGAAGATGGGCCAACTTGAGCTGCAATCAAACTATAAGCATAAGCTCATAATTTATCTGATATATTCCATTAATACTGCACTCCTAGGCCAAAGAAACATGGGTCAATTCTGATAATTTTCTATTTTTAACATGGTTTTATATTCAAATAGCATAAATTTGATTTTCTTTGGCTTTATTAGACTTCATTGTCTTAAATGAGTAATTCAGAGGGCATGTCCAAGGCTTTTCTATCCTTGCCCGTATTTTTCCATACATTGTATCAAAAACGTTAGAAGATCCCTTTTGAACACCCCTTTATGACATATCTGTTTATTGAATAACTTGATGATATTTTCAGAGTTCCAAAGACAGTCAGGTTTCTCTGAACGTGACGTACAGTCTTCTGGAGCTCCTGCAATCCATAAAGAGAGCCCAGAGTATGGTAGCAAGAGGAGCTACGCAGGTTCTACTTAAAGCCCTCGGTACAGGCATAACTTAATCCAATCAAATGTTTCCTATGCTTACAGAGTTCCAAAGACAGCCAGGTTTCTCTGAATGTGACGTACAGTCTCCAGGAGCTCCTGCAATCCGTAAAGAGAGCCCAGAGTATGGTAGCAAGAGGAGCTACGCAGGTTCTTCTTACTGCCCTTGGTACAGCTTCCAAGCAACAACCCACCTGTGAAGAACTCATCGTTGGACTGCATCAGGTTATGGCTAAAGTTGGTCCTAAAGGTAAATGACATTTAAATAATTGGTAGAAAAAAAGGAAATTGGAAACAAAAACATGTTAAATATAGTCTCATTTTGTTCTCCTTGTATCGACATAGACATACTGGACTATTTGGTATTTTATCACTGATTTCCGTTGAATGCTAGATCATACCTGCCAACCCTTCTGAATAATCCAGAATATTCTGATTTTCTGTATTTTCAGGACCTAAAAATTTGGAATATTCAGATTTTTTGTTGTTATTGTTGTTGTTGCTGTTGCTAAAGCCAAATTAAGCTCGTTTTATCATGTGCCGCAATTTGAGAGTTCACGTATTGCGTGCGTTGTACAGATTTATCGCGTATTGCCAGTTACACTGCTGCTGCATGTGCGAAAGCCTGTTAAGAGTACACATTTCTTATTTTCAAAGGCATACCGTGCTAGAAATTCCTAATTCTTATTTTCAAATGTTGGCAGGTATGCTAGATAATGGCTATACTCCCCTACACTATGACCTTTCTAACCTGATGGCTCCTAACACATTAATCTCAACACTTCACTGAGATACAGGGGGTATCTAGACTTTGGCGTCTGTACACAGTCCTCATAAGTTTTACACATGTGTGGCACAGGTTACCATTGATTGAATTTACCTCTCAGGACGGTATCTTACTTATTTTCTACCTCTCATTTGTTTGATATTTCACTTTCGGAGGAAAAAACTTTGCACAGCAACTTTAATATTACTGCTGGTATCTTCCTAGTTATGATCTAGTTATGATCTACAGGTGTAAAGTGAAACAAAGTTGACCAAAAAAGCTGTTGAGGGCTTACCAAAACTCTACATAACCTTTAAATTACTATCAGATTAGGTTGGTTTGATTTTAAAGTGAATATTTTTACATTCATACCCAAGATGATCCAAATAACCATGACAGATAGCTTTAGATTTTGTAGACAGGCATAATGTATCAATGGAGAGTATTTCAAGATTTACCATGGCTCCAATCGGTTCCCTGATCTACAATTATGTACCTTTGAAAGATCTGGAACAGGAACAGTATGATTTGGGGTAATAGTAATTGAAACAATAATTGGGGGTAAGTTGTGAAATCAGGATGCAACATGAATCTTTATTTTTCATAGTTGTAGTGGGATCTTATAATCATCAGGCCTATAATTCTGTTATAAATGGTCTTGCAGTCACTTCATCAAATTACAGTTTTCCTTTGTAAAGCAGGTTCTTTAATGTGTGCATTTTTTCTTGTGAGGAAACACTACAAACTGTTAAAGGAGCTTGCTACTATACCAGGGTTAGCTATACAAAATATTGTTATGGTAGCGGTTGAGTGGGATAATACATAATTACATGACCTATCGTCCTTTACCTAACATATCTCTTTCTATGTTATTCCCCCCTCTCTTATCCTTTCTCTGTGTTTGTGCATGATAGATCGTAAGTTTGGTGTGAAGGCCCGTCTAAGTGGAGCCCTACCCATCACATTGGCCATTGTTAGAGTCAACACAGGCAACCTAGACCTGGTCCAGCCTATGGTTCAAGTCCTCAAGATATATTCCACAAACTGTGAGTACTATGCCAGGGCCCTGTCTTACAAAGAGTTGTGATTGATCCAAATCAATCGCAAATCTTCCAATTAATCATAAGTTTGCAGTCTCCTATCTCTTATGTACATAGTCTTGATTGATATCAACTCTTTGTAAGACAGAGCCCAGATTCACTCTGGAGGTTTTTATTTGAAACAACTAAAGTTTACTGTTTAAAGCATTTCCTCTTACACTCTTTGGAGTAAGACTGATTTTTTTCATATTGTCATTATGTCATTATGCACTGCCCTTATATGAACACTGCTTGTAGTTGAAGTAAAGGCTGCCTGATTTGTTGGGCTTCTGGACGATGAACACGTCCCACCGGAAACTGGAGCCGATGAACACGTCCCACTGGAAACTGGGGCCCTGTACGGGATGAGCGCGTCTTCATCTTGGTAAAGCGGTTGCAGTCAGACCAACCCCTCTCCCTTAGATACTGTTTATATATTCTTTTTTCATCAGCTGTAAATGCATTCCATCCTGGTAAAACCAGTGCAGATCCTAGTCTGCCCCCTTACCCTTGCCCCCCTTGCCCCCATACCATATCGGTAAAGCAGGTGCTGTTAGCCCCCAACCCCTCCCCTTTTACTACTCTCTATGTCAATTCTTTTGCTAGAGCTGTTAACTTATCTCATTTTGGTAAAGTGGGTGCAGTGAGACCCCTCCCCCTACATGGGCCTCCTTGCAATCTATACATGTATATCTGTTCTTCCTCTATAGCTGTTTACCCCTCTCATTTTGGTAAAGCAGGTGCAGTCAGACCCCTCCCCCCAGTGGGGCCTCATTATGATATTACATGTATATCTATCGTATTTTGCTCCATAGCTGTTAACTTATCTCATCTGGGTAAAGCGGGTGCAGTGAGACCCCTCCCCCCTCCCCCTGGGCCCTCATTATGATATTAAATGTATATCTATCTTATTTTGCTCCATAGCTGTTAACTCATCTCATCTGGGTAAAGCAGGTGCAGTTAGCTCTCTTCTCAAAATCATCTCTGTCTGTGGCAAGCGACATCACCCTGCGCTAAGGTATATTCATTGATGGATATTTTTTTGTTGAAAATGATCAACAAATCCCTTTTATCACTTTAAGTGCTTTCTTTGCCACTCTAAACAGTTGCTCATTTGTCATTCATGCATGTTTGCACAAAACAGTGTGAATCAGTTTGATAAGCTCCATGACAACCCTTTAACACCAGTATAGATTAATCTTGTATTGGAAACAGTTAAATAATCTTGAAGCATGTCAATAAAACACACTGAGGCACAGAAAGATTATTAGTGTGGCATTTAAAGAATTAAGAGGAAAATAAATAACTTAATTGTTCTTTTACCAAACATCACTGGACATGTAAATTCATTCTCCAACTTTTTATAAAAGAATAAAAGGAATAATAATCCTCCGTATAAGAAGAAATAGCTTTACACATTTTCGCCTTTACTGCTTTGTCAAGTTAGTTAAAAGAAATGTATCTGTTTTATATTCATGCAGGAGTGCCCTAGAAGCTCTAAGTCTCCTTGTGAAATCAAGTAAGTTTAACACTTTACCAAATGAAAATCTCTGGTGATAGGACTAAAGTGTTTAAAGCCCCTCTAAAGTGTTAGGAGCCCCAACAATTTGATGGTAAAATTGCACTTAAATTGTATCATAATGTGAAAGAGGATGTCATTTATGACTCATTTCTGCAAAGATTTCCCCCCAAAAAATGTGTTTTAAGACATATATTGATAAAAGAATACATAATTTGGGTTTCTGTTGTACACAGAAAACCTAAATTTTGTATTCTTTCATCAATATTCGACTTCAAAATACTTAGCCAAAGCTCCTACTGAATACCAAAGTTGGCTAAGCATTTTGTCTAATTTGGAAAACTCAGTCAAAATACTCATATTTCTAACAGTATTGAATTGAATACCGGCCCAGGGGAGCGTTTCACACAACTTGCCATCAGTGACAAATGACAGTTTTTGTAATAAGCTACTGAAATCCTTGCTTCTGATTGGTTATCAGCAGATTTGTCACTGATATTTGTCATTTGTCATTGAAAAAAGGCTGTGTGAAACGGGTCCCTGGAGCCTTCCTGTGTGTCAAGCTTGAGTACTAAACAACCCACCATTATCAATATCATGATCAATAAAAGCCTTATTATTTCTTTCATGACTCGTTCAGAAAGCAACTCAGCTCGTGCAATCGGTCAAGGAGGGATGCCAATCTTAGTACATGCATTCTGTGAATGGCAGAAGACCGATGTCAGAAACAGACACATCAGTATACGCAAAGGTATACTGAATGTCATCAAGAACATCACCACACTCAGTGAGTATTGTGTTCTCTCATTCTACTGTACTGTTTAGGGACACCATGGATTATATCCTTTCTTGTTTTTAATTCGGGTTGGAACCTCGGGTACACGTGTGTTGGTACAGGAGGTTCATACAGTTAACTTTGCATAACTTGAAGTCACACAAGTTCAAGTCAAGTCAATTTTTAAACCAAAATATGCAAATTGTGTTATTTAGAATTTTGCATGAGCCAAACTTATTCTGTGGTCCCCATAAATTTGGGTAATGATTTATGACTACAAACAAACTGATGGTAACCCCCCCCAAAAAAAATTATATACAAAATTGATAGTGATCAATAGGAAAACTATCTGTCTTTCATACTTACAATTTTCATTAGATACATTTCATACATAAAATTTCCTCTTAAATTTATTTGTTTTCGTATTAATTTGAATTTGTATTTTGACTGTTCATTGTAGAATCAGGGAAGAAGACCTTTGCAGATTGTGATGGTATTAAGGTGCTCTTCAGTGCTGCTGTCTCTATGGCAAATAGCTCAAGTAAGTATGTGTAGTGGCGAACTGATATAAAAGTCCTCAATTTAGATAAAGTACATTCTGAAATAATAAGTGAATATTTTGTTGCTTGTACATTTTAGAAATTAAATGTTTGTGCTTTGGCTAGTACATGTATATGTTAGTTGATTGTGATTTTGTATCATTATTAAAGAACATGTAGCACTAAGGCAATTGAAGCGTACAAATCATTTTCGGGGGTTAGTTTAAACAAGGAAGTTCATACTGCCTATCCTGTTATGCTGATATTATGAGTATAAAGTAAGTGGTATATTTGCCATTTGATGAAAATATGCGTTAAAATATTGTCAGTATGTATTCCTCCCAAGGCTTGTTCAGATAAGATGCAGTAAATTGCCACAAAAAAGCCACTACAAGGTGTGTGTGTTCTTTTACATGTGAATGAATGACAACTAGGTCCAACAACAGATTTTTCGAATATATATTCAATGAGCTCTGTGTTATAATATACAAAAATATAAAGCGTATAACACTACGTCATCATAAAGAAAACGCAGCGGTTTTGCCGTCTCTTATCTGAACGAGCTTTTAGGCACGGACGTTGAGATATCAGTGAAGCTAATGTGCATATTGTTGCTATGTTTTCCTCCCTCAGGCAAGGATGTTGAGACGATAGTGAACCTGATCTGTATCATCCTAAGGAAGTGCTTCCCTAAGAACCGTCTACCAGTGCCTACCATTAGGAGTAGTGTTTCATTCAGTCTTCCTATTGTGCCAGAGGGACATGCACTCCTACAACCCACCAATGGTAAGTAGTGTCTCCTTCTCTGTTCTATCAATGTTTGAAAGTGTAGGAACAATACCAGTGGGTACATACATGTATCACAGGGCATGACTACAAGCTTGACCTGCAATACCATGGTTAAACCAGGGCTTGTAATAAATGGATTCCGCATCTAAGAGGCCCCTTTGAAGATGTCCGATGCACCGCGAGTCTTTTCTCCCCCTATCATAATCCCCTTAATCCCCCTCCCGGAGCGCACAGCTCGTAAATCTCACTCCCGAAACTGAGTGACATCGGGCTCGCGAAATGCATTGTTGGAAATACATATCGGCTGCTATCACAAAAATGGCGGCGTACAGTAGGGATGAGTATTTGCTAGGCGACGATTTAGACTTTCTGACTGATTTTGAGGAAGATTTGATTCTTGAGCCTGGTGTATGGGAAGTTGGAGACCAATACAAGTTATGCACGTGTGAAATTCCATCAACGGAAAATCTTATTCGTTGCAGCGAACCAGAATGTACGGTTAAATGGTTTCATCGTGAATGCATAGGCAACAATGGAGGGGTTGGAGAAGCTAGAGTCGGGCCGGAGTGTGGGGCGGGGGGCGCAGACGAGCAGCCTCCGCAAGCCGTGCAACCGTCAACAGCCAGCACCATGTCGGCGTCTACCGACGAATTGTGGATGTGCAAAGGTAAGATTTATTGTGGTGGTTCACGGCCCTAAACTTTGCGCAGTTTCCTTGTAGAAATAATAAAATAGATAAATAAGATATCCAATTCTAAGTAAAGGGCAGATCTAGATCTGTTCTTATTTCTACTTGTCTTACTTAGCTTAGGTCAGCTCAGGGTATGTGAGTTAAAGTCTCACCTCCCTGCTTAGGTGTCATCAATCGTCACTAAGTAAAGTACCGATTTTGAGTGAAATTAGTTGAATTTTGTTCAGTGTTTGAAATGTTGAGAATCACTAGCACAGCTTTTAATATAAGCCAGGATACTAATGCACCTATGTGAGTACTAGTAGATCTAGTTAGTAAAGGCTCATTTTAAAATTAGTTGTTAGGTCTTTAACAAAATACTAATACTAGGACGTTGGAGGGTCTATTTACAAGTATTGTAAGTATTTTTTCTAGAAAAGACCAGGGATATATGAGAGTTTAACTCATCCCTGAAAAGACTCTTAATCTTACTGAATACTGTTGTGTTATTGACTTTTTGTTATCTTTTCTTCTTTCTTTTTTGTTGGGGAGGCGGAGGGGGGGGGGGGGGGGGAGGGTGGGTATTCTTATGAATATATGAGAGTTGATGCCTAGTATGGCTAGGCCATGATTGCTATGATCATGATGTTGCATTAATTGCATAATTCTTTTCTTTATTCCATCCACTGTTCATATTCTATTTAAATTATTTTATTTTTAGGTTTGTTTGAGAATAAAGAGAAAGATTTTTTTTTCTTGGCAAAACTATTCCTCCAATCAGGGAGTATTAACCCCTATAAAGTGTTGGGAGCCCTTAAAATTTGATGGCAAGATTTCACTTGAATTGTTTCATGATGTAATATTGTTTGAAAAATCAAAATAATTACGATCAACTTCTACTCTGATTTCCACATGTACATGTAGATTGTTCCTGCTCAAGATCGGGTAGCACCCGCAGCCAGGAGGCATCTTCTTCAACAGGAAAAACAAAGTCTGGCCCAGCTACTGCTAGGCCTAAGCGGCGTAAGCCTAATAGGAAGAAAGGTAATTGATATGTACTGAATGAAAACTGAACACATTGTCTTTGCAGTTCAGAACTTTGAGAGTGGAACAATAATTTTCATGAATTTCAATATAGTTTAGACGAGTGTGAATTCTAAAACGCACAAAAATATATTATGGATCTCAGGTAAACTTCAAGCGTAATAGTGGAAAGTGAACAAATTTCAGTCCATGGTTTAATCTCCTGAACAAATATGAATATTTGTGTAATCATTTAATCTGTCACTGGATTACTATGACGAGTGAGAGATTAAATGGAATTCATAACAAAATTATTCATATGAACACTTGGCATAATGGCATTCCATACTTGGTCAGGAGATTAAACCCTGGACTAAGCTTAATCTGCTTTCGAGAATACCGCCAATGGAAACTACGGTATGTACTATGTGAACATCGTCTTTTCACTTGGATCCCAGTTTGGTTTTTAATAATAATAACAGAAACAAATTGTGATGAAAATATGTTATACTTGTGTATTTGTTTTAAGATAGTATATTAATTAATACTTTGATGTGTTTCCAAAGTTTGTTTTTCAGTTCCCTATAATTTGAAACATTGTATCTTTTTATCACATCTTCTTTTCAAGCTAAATCAACAATGGACAGGCAAGCTATCATTGACAGAGGACCACAACTCATCCGTAATGCCCTGAATGAGGTACAGTTGGACAAACTCTACACAGACGGCAGTGTCTCTCGTCTAGCACAATTCATCAAATGTGAGGAGGACTCATTCATCAACCTGGCCAAGGAATTGGTGGACAACATCTATACCTGTGCTACTGCTGGTGATGGTTTTACTATAGGACCATCAGCTAATATCGAAGTGTCCAAATCATTCCATGTCTTCAGATGTAGACCAGAGGTGAAGAAGAAATGGACAGATTTTCTGTGGCAGCAAAACGTTGAGGAAAGCGATCGGGTTAAATTTACACTGTTCCAGTACATCTTAAGGAAAACCCTTAGTTTTGTCCTCACTCTCATGCAAGGTGAACAGTCAGGCGAGTCTGTTGAAGACACCCATCGTGTTTTATCAAAAGAGGAAGAAGGAGTGCTACGATACGTAGCCGGGTACATTCCTTTTGCTCTGGTCAAACGATACCGTAGAATGAAGGCTCCTCTTGGGAAAAAGTTAACCGCAGTGCTGTTAAAGTGGAAGCTTACAGATGATAACAAAACAGAGGCAGACAGTTTTCTTGAGTATACATCTGTATGGATGACTCATCAAAATCGGGGAGGACTCTTCCAAGTTCGCGATGCTGTGTATCGATTCATGTGGACCATGGAAAATGTGGTACGCAAAGAACTTTCAGTCAGTAAATTGGTGGGTAGGGATGAGTCTGCCAAAGAGGTATTAGAACGAGCGGTGAATTGTAACAATAATGTACAAAAATGTTGGAATGTACTAGTATGTGAAGACCTGGAGGAACAGGAAGCAGAGGATTTATTCTCAACTGTAGTCAAATACTACATAGCCATTCGGCTGAGGAACTATGTCAAATTGTATGTAAACATGAAGAAGAAGCAAAAGATGACAGAAAGTCGGAAGGGTCAAAAAGGACTTAGAAAAGAGTTGAAAAAGAAGTCAACATCTATCTGATCAAAAGGAATTGAGATGTACATGTAAGACAGAAAGTAAAATGCAGAAGTACAGGTCTTTAAAAGTGAATACATCTCACTATTTATATACAATACATGTACCAGTTGTTTTAAAATGTGCTTCATTCATACCTTTTGTAAATAATACAGTCTGTTTTGTATGCCTTGCCACTGGATCATCATCATTACTACATGTACATTAAAGGTAAAGACCAGTTTTGGAAACACCCCCCCCCCCCCTCTCAAAATGGAAGCTCTCATTACCAATCATGTGAAAGAGTATGATTCGACTAATACGTGATCCAAATTTTGCCAAGAAACCGCCTACTAATTGATATATTTGGTAAATTATTATATCTATTATCGCCCATGTGTCGCGTAGTCCCATATACATCTTTTTGTGTACAGTGCTTGTAACTTTACCAAGACTGGGCCAAATTTCTTATCATTTTTGATGATTATGCTAGATAATCAACCTTTTTCTGATCGATTCCATAACGTTTCTGTCACAATGCAATCGCATGACCATAACTGGTCTTTATCTTTAATAGTGTTGGGAGCCCCGAACCCCTGAATTTGTGTATTCTCTCACGGATGTTCGTCTTCAGTATATAATCAAAGTGAATTATTGCTTCCAGAGAAATGTTTCAGAATTAGCTTTCTAACTTTTCTGAAATATAATGCATTTGCTTGCTACATTGTAATGTGCTTAGAAACATCATTTCAACATAAAAATAGACTTGTACTTTGATAACATCAATTTTTTTTTTTACTGACTCTTCATATAAATTTGTGTCAATTTTAAAAGACATTATTGTACTCTTTATACCAATATTTACATTCACTGATAATATCAGTTGAGTTCCCGAGTAATCAAACTTAGTTATCACACATGCTGAATACTTCATTTTGATTCATTGAAACCCAAGAGATATTATTTTGTTGAAACTAGGGGTGCGTTTAATTTCTAATCAACAAAAATGGTGATTTTACATGTACATAGTAGTAACTGTCAATATGTATTCATATTCATAATCATTGTTACCATATTCAAGACTACATGTACTTCAAAGTTATCTTGGGTTACTGTTTATGGAGAATTCATCTTCAAAGGTTTCAGTTTTAATAAATTTACATTGAATGGTATGAAATGCTCTGTGTGTCATCGTTTATCATAGAGATATTGGCTACTTGAAATTGCAGCTTAACATGTTAAGAAATGAATTTCTGAATACCAACAAAAAAATGTACATACGGAGATGCATAGGAAGCCAGGAAATTCAATAGTAAGATTTTCATTATGGTAAATTGACATTCTCTTTTACTTCATTATACAACCACGTTTGTCAACATAGAACACATCTTACCCATTTGCACATCCTCCCCCAATGCAATACAATTCCTTGAGTAGGCATACTAACCCTCTTCAAATTTCTAGAGCAAACAGACCAGTAGTTTTGAGGTTAGAATAGAGTAGATTTCTTTCATTTTCTTTGTTTCTATAAATCAAACTTTAAAAAAAATAACAGAAAACTATTCATTTCTCATTTACAAACTACTGGGCAGTTTGTCCTAAATTTTAAGACCGTTAATTATGCCTAAGAACTTCTAGCCATGGAATTTCTGAAATTAGGGAGAATGTGGAAATAAGGACTACTAAATGCAGGGAAGCCTCATCACATTGAGTATTAAAGACCGTTGAATTACTTTGTTAAAATCGTGCATCTCATTATATCAGGGTGAAAAAACTAGGAAATAAAAAGAACTCATTATAACAAGGTTTCACTGTACTTGAAAAGAATGTTAAAGACCCTTCAAAGTGTTGGGAGCCCCCCCCCCCCCCACAAAAAAAAAATGATAGTAAAATATCACTTAAAGATACTATGTCCCCTTTGCAGCCAACAACAAATTCTGTAGAACATTGCAGGAATTATGAATACTGGTATGTCATATATGTACAGTCCTATCTGTGAACTGAAATTAAACGATAGCAGTGTCCTGATATTCAAATTATGCAAGGAAACTCGTTTACTTGCTAGACTTCACTGTCGGACACTATATTGAGTGGCTGACTGGCCTTTTTTCTTCTTTGGTAATAACATACATAAAATGAGCTGTAAAGGGTACACATGCATTTGTCTACACCAATAACCCACTTCTTGTCATGGCCAAGATTAAACTGATTGAAAATGCCCCCCTCTCAAAAATGGAATGGAAGCTTTTACCGTATTACCAATCATGTCAAATCAAAGAATATGTTTTGACTAATCCGTGATGATACAAATTTTGCCGAAAAACTACTATTTGATATATATGGTAAATTACCGGTATCATATCAATTCTGCCTGGATAGATATCGCGTAGTCCCACATCTTTCTGTGTACAGTGCTTGTAACTTTACCAAGACTGGGCCAAATTTCTTATCATTTTGATGATTTCAGAACCTAGATGATTAACCTTTTTTGATCGATTCCACAACGTTTCTTTCACAATGCAATTGAGTGACCAGAACTGGTCTTTACCTTTAAAGTGTATAATAGGGTTAAAAAAGGAAGTCATTTAACACTACCTTTTTCAAGGATTTTCAATACGAAATAGAATATTCACTGTATAGTAAACAGTTCAAATTTTGTAGTTTTTTGTTATTTATCCTTTTCAAACACATTTGTTTGTCTCTGAAGTCTGAACACTTCAGAGGGGCTTTAAACGGAGAGAGGAGTTTTAGCAAGGGTCAAAAAGTTCAAAAAAATCTAATCATGATATTTGACTCAAGTAAGATGGCAACATGATTGATTATCGTTTACTATTTTAGATACCCTATCAAAACAATTCAACGTAAAGTTGCTGAAAACCTGGTCTTTAGCCATAAAAAACATTTCATCATTATCTCCTTATTCTGTTCTTTGTTTTGAGAAACTACAGCAGTAAGTTGAAATTTTCAAGATAGTTATAATATTTCATGTCTCTTTAAAATTACAAATTTGTTTAAAGATTAATTGGGCAATTTCCTGACCCTTCCCAGAATTCAACTTCCCCTGTAAAGATGTTGTTCCAACTTTAACGTTTGAAGAGTTTTTTTCTTGGTATTGGAGTACAATCAATGGAGGTCTCGCCACCGCTCTCTCTGGTAACATTGGCCCTCTTTGATGCACGCAGACTCATTCCAGCAACATGAATAGACAGCATGTTATTCCCAAACTGAGAGACGGTTGGGTTCTCATTTGAACGCCCAATAGAGCGCTGCTTCACAAAGTACTCCTCAAGAGGGTCCTGATTAAACTTGTCACTGAGCACAAACTGCACTCCTTCTTCTGCTAAGAGCTCTCGGCACAAGCTCACAAATGAATTCACTGCATGTAAAGAAAGCACAGTAGAAACTAATCAACTCAGTAATTGGTTACAAGATTGTAGCAACCTTAATCACAAGTTTTAGATACCAATTTGAATAAGTTGAAAGAAATAGATGAATTTCATCATTGTACAAACTGATACAGATCAATCTTACATCAAACTTTTGAAATTATCTGTACAAGTTAAATTATACTTAAAGTAGACACACAAAGAATCAAAAGTGTTTTGAATTGATGCAAAACTCATATCATTGCGAAGGGGAAGCCTTACTGATCAAATACAACAACTCTCCTCTTCAAAATATGTTTGGGGCCCGCAGTAATCAACTCTCAAAAATGTTAGTTTTGAGATCCAGATTTTCTGCCTTCAGCGGTCCTTTGTAGAGTGTCAATATTTGTGACGTCACACACGGGACACGGCTGACTAGCTGCAGACTAATACACGCGCGACTCCGGTATGCGGCCGGTACTGAGCTGTTTGTCCAGTGTGTGACGTCACTATTCAGAGCTCTCTACGCTCGTGTGTTTGGCTTACGTTCAGGGGCGTTCGGGGGTCTAAGAAGGGTCTTGAAAAATTGCATTTTACGCCTTTCCATGATAGCTACCTTTTATGTGATTTCTCAGCAAATTATTCATGTTTTTCAAGAGAAAATCTTTCCATCCATATGTAATTTGTTCTAATTATCAGTTGTAGTGAATTTTTCTTTGTGTAGCTCCTTTAAATAAATTATAAAAGTGTGTTTAAAGAAAGTAGCCCTCATTTGCCCTCAATTTTGATTTGATTAGTACCCCCCCCCCCTGGATCTGCCACTGCCCCCTCCATGAACCAATTGGTCGATTCAAAGAATAAAAAGAAATCTATTCACTTATCATTTCAAAACCACTGGCCCGTTTGCTCTACAAATTTGAAGAGGGTTATAGTGCTCAAGAGCTTCTACCCATGAAAATTCAACAAAATTGGGGATGGTTTGCAAATGAGGACTACTACCTTTAATGCACACAACGTGCAATTCATACACATCCCAAATCCCTGCTATGACTGCAAATAAACATCAATTTAATTACCTGTCATACGAATTCCTTGTAATGTCTGTTTGCTTAGAATCAGTCGTTCCCGATCACGTGCTGTGATAGGAAGGATGAGGCCTTCTGATTCCCATTCATCAAGATAGGATAACAAATCTTCCGTCAACCACTGCAAGATGAAAGAGCAATAACAATGTTGCACTCCTATTTCATAATCACAAACAAAAATTATGATATTTGATGTCCAATATATATGGAAAGTACTTTGTTATATCTTTTTTTTAAATTCAGATATATGGGTTTGCTAAAAAAAGAATGGATATTTTGCTTTGAAACTAAGAAAAAAGTACATTGTTAAAAGGAACGGTTATTATGAAATGAAACCTTGTTTAAAAAAACACCTTGGGACCCAACTTCCTGCTTAAATTTTCCTTGTTACAAATCAGGTCTTTAATGAGATTCCATTGTTATTCGTGATATTTACAATGAGAAATCACTGTCTCATTTCTTTGCTGAAATACTTTTTACTGACAATGAAATGTTAGATCAGACAGAGAAGAACTCTTTCTCCTTACCGTGAAACGCCAATCATTCTGATCGCTGTAGGGGAAAAGGGTATCTTTCCGTTTCCTTTGTCCACCGAAACGGGTCGACACATTCAAACAGTCAAAGAAGGTGTCTACATACTCGATGAACCTGATGGTGCTAGCTGTTTCTGGAAGACCTTGCACTTTCAGTGCATTAGCAACAGTACTGCTCAAAACCTACATCATGAAAACAAATGCAAAAGAAAAGGTTAAGAAAAACGCTGAATTCCATTTCACATACCGGTATTTATTTTTCTGTTAAACTTTTGCACTCCTCAAAGTATGCATGCAAGAATTAACAAGAAAACAAAAGAATATAACGGTGCAGTACAGAAAGGGCACGTCAAATACATGTTTCTATAGTTCTGATCAACTGCACTATTATAATAGGAAATTAGAAACTGCCCAAGTCTAAAAGAATGCTCAAACATCTTGTTTGCATCTTTAAAATTTAAGTTCACCTTAGGATTCAACAATCTATGTATAAGAACATTGACATACCTGAGCTGCCAGTTTTACTTTCATTCTCAGTGCTGGTGTTAGATGAAGATGTTCTTCTGTCAGCTTATGTAGCATGCGAAGACTTGATGGACTGCTAAAATCCCACTCGTACACATCCAATATGTGTTTCCAAGAGATGTCTAATCCTCGGAACTGCACGTTTTAAGAAATAAAATAAAAACATCAAATCAAATTTATTTTTTTCTTCATTCAATTTACAAACAGTTATAAATGTTCATGCCTGTTGTATTAATAAATTGCATGTTTTAATTTCCAAATTAATTAATTTTGAGTCCCCCCACAAGAAGATTTTGTGCTATTCCATGCAGATGTGCTGTGAAAATCATTAATGAAGTGGACGGTATATGAATACAATAAATATATGTATATCTTTACTGTCATTATACAATTTAAGTGATTTTTTTTTTACATCAAACTTTTGGAATTCCCTGGATCTCATAATGTTGGAGGGGGTTTAAAGCAGCTTTCTGGTTAAAGGAGTACATGTACAAGTACATGTATATATCATAGTTTTCTCTACATGCCCCATTCTTTTCCATTAATGAACAGACGAGACGTTTGCATAAAATGCACATAAGAGATAGTGACTAATATTCTGCACAAGTTCTCATATTTGTTACCTTCAAATTCTTTGTCTTGTGGTTGAAACCAGAGTTTTCAAAGTTGTTCCGAATGGTTTTTATCAAGTGTGGTACATCACCAAAAAGATAAATCCTGTCGTCTGTAATCGAGTTGAAGAAAAAGTTATCCGAAATTCCTTCTGTCAAGATCTTGTAAAGACCACGATTGGGAGCAGCACCATCGCTTACAATGCCCCGCACACAAAATCCTTGATGAGTCAGATACTCGATAGATTCCGTGACAATCCAGTATAATTGGTCGCTTGTGGCTCCCAATGTAGCGAAATATGCAATTGGACTTCGATATGAGGCGCAAATTGCTCGGATCATGACAGTGAGGATGTGGCTTGCCATCTTGGGCTCTTTGGCACCTTCGCAATCCCTTGCATACTTCTGCAGTTCATCGTTAAGAGTTCCCAGACTTGTAAATCCCACAATTTCTCCAGTTGATTGAGAAAATACCAGTCCTTCACTGACCTTTATTTCATCTATCGATAACATTATATTTTTTTCATGCTGCTGCAATGAACTAAACTTAATGTCACTGCAGACCCGCTGAAAAAACTGGGCATTCAGTCCTGGTGGATTGTCTGTGAAGTGGGTGTATTGGAAGAGAGTTGTCTGATGAGGCAAGGTCAAAAATCCGGAATCTCGCAAAACATTATATGCTGCTGCTGACTTTGCATGAAGGGCAATACATAATCGCAGAATTGCTGGATGCCATCTCATACCCGTCCCTTTTCTGTTCAGCCTTCTTAACTGTTCTTGCCACAAGAGTTGCTGTGGTGATTTGTCAGGGAACTCTTTTGCAATGCTATTCTCCTCCTGCTGAAGAACTTGGGCAAATGATTTACTTTCCAGCTCAGTAACTGACTTCGCCTCTTCATTGAACTTTTTTTTCACTTGTGCCTTGAGCCTCTTTAGCTTTTGATTCAGAGTTTTTTTGTTTGTTTTCTCTGTTTTAAGACGTTTGCTGAGCTTTTCCTTTCTCATGTAACGATGGTTTCCTTTGAGTGCTGGGGAATTCATGGCCTCACAAGTCTTATACAATTTGGCTAAGTCAGTACGATAGATGGAACATGTAGGACACCTTCCATCACTGGTGGTGACCAATGGGCAACTTGTGTGTCTCATTGTGTCTTTGGTTGGATCTGGCATTCTATGGATGTAGATGGGACGTTGCATGATAGAAGATTCTGAGACAACATATTCAGGATTTCCAGGGCATATGTGTGACTTGGATACCGCTTCTATTACTGCCATTACAGATTCTACCGTGACAAGGATATCCAAATCCTTCAAATGTGTATGCTCCTTGGAAACAAGTTTGCTATAGACTCGTAAAGTCCAAAGTCCTGACTCACAGACAGACAAACACTGGGCAGAACTTCCATGTTCATCAAGAGTGATGAGAAGGACTTTTCCTGCTCTTCGTTGCACTACCATGTCATGCTCTCTTCCAATTCTCTCACATGTCTGCAGCAGGGAGGGTTCAGGTTCCTGTTCCTGTGGCGCAGTGCAAATACAGCAGTCATCAACATGTGGTTCAAAATTCCTAATCTGTATTCCAACATCACCCCCTCGCTTATTTCTCCCCGTGCCTGCTTTACGCGACTTCCATGTTCTCCAGCGCCCTAGTTTGCGGTCACACAAGTAGCATACAGAAGGTGGATGAATGTCATCATCGTCAATGCTGATGTCCAGAGATAATGCCCTATTGATGACTTTAGCAAGTTTCTCCTTCTTGACACTTCTTTCGGTGATGACGTCTCCACAAAGTCTGCACAGCCCCTGGAGGGCAGAACAGTGGTGAGATCCAGACATTGCAACCCTGTATCAAAAATTAAATAGGCAAAGTTGATTTAAATATATTTAAATACAAAAATATTGTTACAATAAAAACAGAAATATTGCTACCAATATAATTTATGTTTTATTAAACAAATTTTAAAATGTATTTTGTTAATCGCCACAGCAACTACCGGAGTCCACCCCAGCGAGCACAGGCTATAAGGCCAAATAAAAATAAAAACATGTTTAGCCTCCTGTTTTTTTTAAAAAATAGGAAGGAGGAGGCCATTTTTTTGTTTTCCTTTCAAAATGGATGCCCGGTACATTTTTCCGGAAAATCAGGCTATTTTTCAAGATGGCCGCCATAATTTAAAAAAAAAAAAAAATCAGAAATAGATCATTTTGGAGTATGTTTGTCATCTTTTAATTCATTAAAGAAAAAAAAAAAAAAGGGAGGCGGCCCCCAAAAAGGAAGCGGGCGGGGACGCTAAACATGCATATCTTTTTACTTGGCCTAAGTATAAATGGCGCAGCCGGCCTCAGCCATACGCAGGGTCTAATCCAACTCCCTAGTCGTCCTTGAAGCTACTAATTACTGGTACTATAGATACATGTAGCTAGCGGGATCGGGATGCAAAAATACAGGGAAGGGGAGGGGGGGGGGGAATTAACAACTTCTTAATAAACAGGGCTGTCAACCCTCCCGTATTTGGAGGGAGTCTCACGCCACCACGCTCATTCTCCTGCCCTCCCACCAGCTCGTAGCGGGAGTCTCCAGCCACCACGCCCTTCCTCCTGCTCTACCGCTTTGATGTAGAATCTCCCAATATGTGAAAAAACCTCCCGCCAAACATGGAACCATAATTAAATCTTCTTTTTTTTTTGCTGAAGGGGTGTTGAGTAAGAAATAAACTACCCCCCCCCCTCCCTGTTGTGTAAAAAAAATGAAATTGCATAGAGTCTAGACCTAGTCTAGATCTCTTCCCCAAATTTGACAGCCTAATTAAAAAAAAATAGGTCTAGGTCTAGACAGTAGACTAGATCTTGAAATGTAGCCCCGACTTGCAGGGAAAATGTGGACTGGCTTTGTAAGAAAAACTCACAGTAGTCTATAGTATTTTAAGATTAAGCCACTTCTGATGGAGCTCTCTTTCCACCCACTCCAGCAAAGCATAGATAGTTGATACTAATGCGTATTGACCTTAAGCACTGCAGTACGTGTAAATAGGCAGCATTTGAATACATGAATAGTCAATACACGCACAACATACAAATGCACATAATCATGCCGATGCGGTTGATCGGCAAGTTTGACAGTAGACTCGCAATTTTGATTTTTAAATTATTCTTTCTTACATCTGAAAGTTTAACAAATTGTATTTTAATGCTCTTTAGGTGTCATCAATCGTCACTTAAGTACTAAATTTGAGTGAAATCAGTCGAGTTTTGTACAGTGGTGTTTGAAATGTTGAGAATCAATAGCACAGCTTTTAATACACAGCCAGGGTAGTAATGCGGGTACGTGTATTTCCACCCACAACATGCAGCATGGACAGCCCAGCGAGCAGCGAGCACAGCGGCTTGCGCATCGCCGGCCCGGCCGTAAGTACGTAATCGGGGTGAAAAGTGGTGATGATTTGACAACTTCTAACCCTCATTACACCAAATGCGCAAATATACAACACAATTTCATTTAGTTATTTTAAGAGATAAAGCTTTGATCTACCTTCCTAGCTATGTCAAAATTTCGGAAACTTTCGGAAAATGTCAATAATTAGAAGAGAACATGATGATGATGAGAAACTTACATTCACTCTAACTCACGATTTCCTTGGTCGATTTCGCTGGTTCAGATGGCTTCGTCTTCAGTAGAGTTATCCGAGCACAGCGAAAGCATTTGATAACCAATAGAAGGTTGCATTGTGCCATAAGTTGTCGATTTTCGTATTTTATATGTTATAGCTAATACATCTTCAATGAGTATAACGTCATTTTCTCGGTGCAACGCATGGCTTCAAAGCCTTTTTTTACGACCAAGTGTTTGGAGAGCTTAGGGAAGCAGGCCGCGTTGCGTAACACTTCGTAACATTTGGATCGCCAGAGGGCATCTGTGGTCTGATAAGGGCAGCTGTTGATGGATTTGATGGCTGAAGAGGGTTACATTACTTGTTGTTAAGCCAAGTTAATCTTGAATATCTTTCCCTCGGGAAATTCTTTCGAGACGAAATCTCCATTTAAAACACCTCCCTGGTTAAACTGTAATTTTTATTTAAAGCCCCACTGCACTACTTGTAGCTTCTTGCGCCCTCTATGTAGCAAACAATGCCTAATCGGTGGCTGTTGGTCCCCCATGGTCTCCTTTTTCTTATGTTTATTGAGAGCTTATTTGATGAGATAACCACCTGTCAGTGACCACGGAGGGAGGTCAAATCCCTCCTGGCTAAACTAGTGCAGATAAGACTGGTAAATATGTGTGATACTGTCCATTGATATGCATACATTATGGTGATAAATGTACATGTATGTAACCTGAATTAAAATTATATTAATACTAGTAAAACCATAAAATGTGTTCAAAAGGACCAAAAACAATTTGTAATGGTTTGCTATCGTAGAATTAGCAATTTCATGTATTTCATGCAGCTTTTGACAATCCTAAAGTAGATACAACCCAAACCTGTCAAATCAAACCTGTCTATAGCGACCACCCAAGGGAAACTTAAAAAGTGGCCTTTGTAGACAGGTGGTCTTTGTAGACAGGTTCCTTTAGTACATGATTCAATGAGAAACCATTTTCAAAGGAAATAACAAATGTGGCCTTTGTAGGCAGGTGGTCTTTGTAGACAGGTGGTCACTAAAGCATGGTTGACTACAAATCTTATTTTCCTCCCTCTTTGTAGGAGATGACGTTATCGACGAGAGCGATGATCAGGATGATGATGTCAGTAGCGGTGACGAGAACAAAGAGGAGGAACCTCAAAAGGTAAAAGGACTTTCCCTCCTACATACAGACACTCATTTTTTACAGAATATGAAACTAGGTTACGATGTGGAGCATGTCATGTAAAGAATTTTGGATGATCTGAATTGGTCGCAACCTACCAATATTTATCGCAGCTCACTAAATGAGAGATAGGGGATTGTAAATTTGCAATTGAATGGAGTATGTATGGTATGTTTAGATTAATGACAAATCTGTATAAGACAGGGCAATGACATGTGTCTCACAGCAGTTACCTGTAATTAGGGGTCAATGACTAACCCCTCTCTCTTGACCTTTGTATTATGTGTCATGGGCCATAAGAGTCTTCATCACACAACATTAGTGATGCAAAACTTCTATTTGCTTTCCAATGATTTCTATTGCAATCAGTAGTGATTGGCAAACTGTTTAGTAACGAGTTTGTTAAATCTTGAGCTTAACGTAGGGTCACTTTAAGTATTGATTAAGAAGTTCAACAAAGGCCTAGTGATCTTTGACCTTTGACCTTGACAGGGTGAAGCTGTAGAAGAAGGAGATAAACAGATGGCATCAGAGACTCAACAAAGGACGCCTGAAGATCTAGCAACCTACCTCAAATTCTTTCCTGAACTTGTCGACTTTGAAGAGGTAAAGATTATACATTTTTGGTCAAAAAATATTTAAATCCTTCTGGAAGAATAAACAAAAAAGTATTTCCGGTAAGGATATGTGGAATTATATTTGAAATGTAGTGTATTCTCTTCTTATGTGAAGGCAAGTTTTCCCTCACTGTCTTAGTTTATTAGTTTCTAGTTAATTTGTATTCCGGATTTCTCTGAAGGCTTGAAGAGGATTTTGACTTTTCAACTAGAAAGATGTGGCTTTCAAGAATGTGATACTGTCATACTCTGTTAATAAGATGTTAACAGAAAGCCTGTATTTGAATGATTTATTTTTTTGATTTATTTTTCTAGCATATGACTGAGCCTGAGGAAGGAGAACTTGAAGACGCATCATCTCAGCGTCCTGGGACCACCATCCACATACCCACCGCCAAGTCAGACCTACCAAGAGGTAGCTCCAGGATGGGCGCAACGACTCAAAACCTCAGAGAGAACCGCTTCAGTTTGCCAAATTTGTCCAAGTACGGTAGTCTCGTCACAAACTATCCTTCCAGCGATGATGCAAATGTTGATATTGCTAAGCATCAAGGCAGACAGGGCCCCGGCAAGGCCAACTCCAATGCATGGTTCTCGCAAGACAATGACGACTCCACGTTTGCAGGACACTTCAACCTTGGTGGTTCAGCCATGAATACAGACCTTTCGTCAGATTCAGTGCCTTCGTCATTCAGGACTACAAACCCTAGGGTATCTGCCAAACAGTCTAGATCCGTCCATAACCTGAGGCGTAGCCACTCGCCGACCAAAGGAACAAAACATGGCAACGGTTTCAAGTATACCAGTCCTGAGCGTCATGTGACTGCCCATGCTCTTTGGGGCATCGGGGATGAGCACCCCACAGAGAGCATTGAGTTTGTGAGGTCATCGATGACCATCTCGAGAATGACCCTCCGCAGTCCCACCGACGTCCCGAGCTCGAACAATGAAATGTTGATGACGGAGGAGGTCAGTTTGGACGAGGTGAAACCTGATATGTATGGGGACACGTTAGCAAAGACGAAGAGAGTGCTTCCGTTCCGTAGGATTGCCCATCCTGAAATACATGGACATTCGACCGGCGATTTGGTGGAAGAGTTCTATGACAAACCAGCTAGTGTCCAAAGGTTAGCATTGTTCATTCATTCATTCATGTCATTTGAGCCATTGCAAGTAATGAGAGCTAATTTTCTCCTAATATTGATTATTGATTAAAACAATCGCCATTTTCAATATAATGATAATATTCCCCTGTTATATAGCGCTTAATACATCGATGATGTCTCTTAACGTTTATATTATTACCCCAGTCATCGGATTCAAGCTTGCCTGCACACAATGTATGCACATTTCTCCACTCCCTTGGGAGCTTTCCAGTCAGGCGTCATTTAAGCGCACACTTGCTCATCTAACCACATTATGGAAGGTTATCGTTTTCACTCTATTTTTATTTCTTGTGAATAACGTATTATTTGGGGTAACTGTGCTCTGAAAACCAAACCAAATGTTAGATATATAAACATTGTATTAAGGGCGTTTACAGGGTACATGTACATGGCTGTTTTTTCTGAGCCGGCGATATGGATTGAAGTCAGGATGATCCGTAAATAGAAACCTGTCAAGCTTATCAATGATCAAGATAAAATCATGCAAGTTTATTCTCTTTATCAAGGTTTCTTATATGTAAAGGCAACAGGATAATGTAATCACTTAAAACTGTCCATGAGTTAGATAAACTCATGACCTGGGAGGTGTTTCACAAAGATTCTAAGTCAAACTTAACTCTAAGTTGGACATAAATATCATGGAGAGCCATGTGTAGCCTTATAATGAAAAGCAAAAATTTAAGTATTTTAGGCTTTTCATAAATGCCACATCAAGAACATATAATCTCCCATGATAATAGAAAATATGAATGATTTGAATCAACATTTTATGCCTTTTAAAATAACGTTTGCAAAATATTTTCAAGGATGCTAACGGCTTTCCATAATTTTTAAGTCCAACTTGGGATCTTTGTGAAACACCCCCTGTCAATGATTACTTTGCAGGTGCCTTGTCTTTGAAGACATTGACAGGATGATCCACCCACATAAAGTGATAGAGAAGACTGTCTATGATCTAGATGAGCTCATGAAGAATGGAGCAACACGCTTTACTCCAACCAACCATGGAGCACACAAGTAAGCCATTCATCACATTGTGGGATTTACTTGTCGTTTACATTTGAGGGAAGGAGGGGGGGGGGGAGGGGTAGGGGGTCATACTCAAAAGGTTTCCTGTCTCTGTTTTCTGAGAGATAAAAGATCTTGAGTAAGGTGTCTTTAGGAGTACCACATGTTCTCATATTTTCAATACATTTTTTAGATCATTTTAGACCACTATTGAAATTTGTGACATAATGTTTGACAACATTTTGACTATTTTGACTACGGTAGTTTTTAGTGACAGGTTTTAAGATGGTTTAATGTTTCAGTTTTTAGAGCTTTATTTTTTTTAGGTTTTCAGTTCAAAGAGGATTTATATAAATCATACTTCTTAATGTTGGTGGTTTACGGCATAGATTTAACAATATTTGTTAACAGAAATATGATTTTTATATTTAAATTCCCATTTGACTATCAGTATTTTTTTAATGCTCATGTAGAAGTGTGATCAATGCACACATGTATGTTAATCTCTTTTTCATTCTACTACAGGAACTATTAATATACCTAAATTAAAGGCTTATGAAAATGGCATTCTAGCTTTATTGTGACTGTGTACAAGATTGATCCAAATTTAATGCTAAAATATAGTTCTTTTTACTTTCCAGTTGATGTAAGGTGGTTTATTATATCTTTTTAATCATATTTTCTCATTATGTTTGTTGCAGCTCTAGATCTGGAGCTGATGGAGAGTCGCAAAGTCTTTCTTTCAATTCTTTGTTTGAATGCGGCAATCTTAGAAGAGCAATACAGGTAAGACTAGCTTGCAATGGTCATCCCTTTGATCATAATTGCATTTGACAATATGAGAAAAATTACCATACACATACCTGCCAACCACCCCGATTTAGGCGGAGTTCCTCCGCTTTTTACATACCAACTCCGAATTCCGAGTGCATGCCTCAAAACTCCGATTTTTTTTTAATTTTTTTTTTTTGTTTTTAATTTTTTTTTTTTGTTTTTTTTTAAATTTTTATTTTAGAGTGTAATGCACTTGGAGAGTATATAACTATTATGTTTGTATTTTGAAATGTAAAGCGCCTTGAGCATGTTCATGTAAAGGCGCTCAATAAATACCAATATGTATGTATGTATGTATGTATAAGACTAAAGCATAACACAGCACTGATAATCAGATCACGCCGACATCCGCGCTCGCGCTCATAGAAGATGTACATTTAGTTCCGCAGTCACCCCCTGTGTACCCCCCCCCCCCCCCCCCAATCTACGGGCTACTACCCCAATCCTTCGGTGGTTCGCGACCTCGTAGTCCATCCAGAAAAATTTACTCCTAATTTCTCTTGTCTCAGGTTGGCAGGTATGCATACATGTACATCAATTTTCATTACTTGGTCTAGTTTCCCTCATTACTTGTAATCAAATGCATTTGCGTTCCATTTACTTAAAAGCACCAATTAGTCACTGCAATTATTTTTTGTTTGTGTGTATTTTCTAAAAATAGAGATTCCAAGTTTTTGAAGTGATATATAACCCTTTGTGTTAATTTCAGTAATACCAACTTACAAACCCTGTTGTACCAAGAGCAATCAATGTCATCTTTTGAGAGAAATTTCTTCTTCTCCCCCATCCGATCTGTTTTTGTAATTGTGACTTAATAAGGCAAAACAAAACAGATGTTGTATTGCCCTTTGCGACCGACCCCAAAATTTTAAAATCACCGGTTGGCTTTTTAAAACAGTTTTTTTTTTTACCATTTTTTAGAGAAAAAAATGTTTTAAAGCATTCAAAGCCCAAAGAGCGAGTTTAAAAAAAAAAAAAGTTTAAAAAAAATATTTCCTTCCGACCAACCGACCGACCCATGTTTTGGCGCCTAAAGGGCAATAAAACATCTTTTTTTTAGGCCTAATCATGGTTTATCTTGTGCCATAGTTCTGTTTGTTGAGTAACCCTATCAAATCACTTGTATATATTAAAGTGTCAGCTGTTTATTTCACACTGTTTAGAAGGAACAAAGTGACATCATTTGCTTGTTCATTTTTTTCCAAACAGGTCAGGAAGCACGAGTATGATTTAATCTTGAGATCAGATATCAACAGCAACCATCATCATCAATGGTTCTACTTTGAGATATCAGGGATGCAGGCCGGTGTACGTCATCGATTCAACATCATCAACTGTGAGAAGGCTAATAGTCAATTCAACTATGGTGAGTTACTCAGCCTGATGGTACCTTTTTGTCTCGGTTTTCACTCGGTTAATAACCTTAATAGGCTCCTTACCTTTGAAATGATCTGCCCTTGAAACTTTTGGGGTGTAACCAGACTAGACAAAAATATGAAATACAGCAGTTTGGGAGACTCTAGGACTGGATGAAACCATTCTGGACAAATTAGCCCCAAAACGGCTGCTATTCTTTGGCCATGTTTAACAGTATGAGACCATAACACTACCCAGAGATACTCCTGACTTCTAATATTCATGGTGATAGACCCTGGGGGAGACCAGCCAAGAAATGGTTAGATTGTGTAAAGGCTGATTGTGCTACTAGATGTCTGGGATCCCTCACAGAAGCGACCAGAACGTCCAAGATAGGAAGATCTGGCTTGAGGTCATGAAGCAGAAGCCATCACACATCTCCCAGATGGTGTGGAAGGCTTAGGTCAAGGTCAATAATCTGCAAATGAAATTTAAGGCAGTATTCTTGGAGGCACAATAAGTGGAATAATGGCAAGTATTATCATATCTACAAAATGGGCCAAAAATTGTTTAATTGAAATTGCCTGTTTTGATATATAGCAGAGATTTTAAAGCTGATATACTACAGGATTTTGAACAAAAAGGGAGTATTAAAATATGGTATGGTATGTGTTTGTCACAACTAACCTCTTTATCTCTCTCTCTCTCTCTTTCAAAACCTAATCTCGCTCCCCTCTTTTCTTCCCTCTCTTTCCCCATTTCCCCATCACTCTCCCTCTTTGACTCATTTTGTTTACTCTCTTGCTTCTCTTTCTCTTTTTTTGTCTCTTTCTCTCTTTACCGTCTCTCTGCTATTCGCTATGTCATCGTCTTGTCCATCTCCTCCGTCTACCTGTCTCTCGCACCAGGCATGCAGCCAGTGATGTACTCCGTCCACGAGGCCATGGAAGGGAGCCCTCACTGGGAGAGGGTAGGGTCGGAGATCGCCTACTACAAGAACAACTACAGCCGTAGCACCGCAGCCACCGGAGGTCAGAAGGGCAAGACCTACTTCACCTTTGCCTTCACCTTGACCTTCAAACATGACAAGGACATCTGCTATCTGGCTTATCATTACCCTTTCACCTACACGACACTACAGGTGAGAATGCGGTTGTCATCTTAAAGGCATTGTTTAACAATGTTAAATCTGAGATGCATGGTCCTACAAGTTATCAGTGTCTGTAATAAGGTGTAATATTGAAGCCCTAAAAAAAAATGGTTTTTCAAAATGATCATGAATCACCTCAAAGAAGTAAACATCTTTGAGTGCCGGTTTTACCATACTCATTTTCCCCAATAGACTGTAGTGTTATAAAAACCGTTAGGAACACGGAAAATGAAAGTTTGATTTCCAATCATTAATATCTTGATAATCAGACAGGCGATCAGCTTGTAGAAGTCATGGGGTTCCTGACTGACCTAAAGGTTGATAATTATCATTGGAGCATGAGCTAAATCCAGGATTTGTTTTCAGAATCTGTGACAAAGTTACCGGATCTCTTTAAAGGATTGGTCTCAGATGTAAATAATCATATCTGATTGATATGCATGTTTAATAAGCCAATGACACACATAGAAATCAACTTCTCAAGTTTATAAATTTTGTTCTTGACTGTTACAGGTTCACCTGAGTAAGCTGCAAGCTAGTTTAGGAGAGTTCAGTGACATCTACTACAGGAAGCAGAGCCTGTGCCTGTCTCTAGGAGGCAACGAATGTCCAGTCCTCACTATCACAGCCAATCCTACAACTCTGGACAAAGAGGGCGTCTTGCAATTCAGTAAGTCAGAGCCATCTATACACAGAGTTTGGCCAAACCCGGTTTGAGTTGGTCACAATATGGTGACTACTGCTATGTTGGGCAAACACAAAACAAAAGAATATACACCTTGTTGTGACCCAGTGAAACCAAGTTGGCCAAACTCTCCTAATTAATGGCAATGCAGTAAGTCATCATGGAAATTTATTAATTTCTCACCAGTTTAGATTTTGTGATTTATTAAGTGTTACATTTTGACCAATTTTTATTTCAAGAAAGTTAAGATCATTGGGAGTTTACGTATATATGAAACATTGATAGTTGAGAGTGAGTTCTGTGTGATCTTGAAGACTGGATGTTACGCTGAGCGAATCATTGTTTGGCTTTTAGCCTTATGATTTAATCCCAAGATCCAAAGGTTTAGCAAGGGTTATCGATTAAAAATGAATGAATCTTTGTAGACATGTTTGAAACAGTTGACTTGTGTCCCTACAGGAGAGAGTAGCAATTCTTCATCATCTTTCTTTTGTTTTTTAAACTTTATTTGAATCAATATCAGGTGTGGGGAGGAAGGTCTGCGCATCATAGTTATTAGGTTAACTTTTTCCATACCCGGGCAGCTTGACCAGATGAACCTCCTATTGCAATATTTATATATGTTTTCTATAGATTTTGTCTCAATTCATGGTTGCTATATTGTAGTCTTTATGTGACTTGATTTGCCAAATAAAATAATAATAATGAATCTTTTTCTCTTTGTCTTTTTCAGGGTGTCGAAGGTACCTCTTCCTGTCAGCTCGTGTCCATCCAGGAGAGAGTAACAGTTCTTACATCATGAAGGGTACTCTAAAGTTCTTGATGAGTACACACCCGACAGCCCAGGCTCTCAGAGAGATCTTCATCTTCAAGATTGTACCTATGCTAAACCCTGATGGAGTCATCAATGGAAGGTAGGAATCAATCATCTTCATTTATTTCCATGGTGATCTGACATTTTTGTTTGTATATATTGTGCAGTTGCAACCAATAGCCTGTTCAGGTATCAACAGATACACTGTAAGGCCTTTAAAAAAAGGATTGCCCTTTGGGTGCCAAAACATGGGTCGGCTGGTCGGAAATGCTTTGGTTTTTTTTACTTTGTTTTTTAAAACTCCCTCTTCGTGCTGATATTTTTCAGTTTTAAATGCTTTAATACATTTTTTTTTCTTAAAAAAAAAGGTTAAATTTTAACACATGTAACGTAAGAAATATGTGGAGCACTTAATGTAAGAATGACGGCTTGTAAATTACCATTGTGGAAAGAAGACATTTTCCCTCAGGCTTTATTTTGTTAATGAAAGAATTTTAGGACTTGGATTGCGATATGGTTTAATGTTTAATACACTTTTCGCTTAGTTGTGATATAGTGTTAGTTCCTAATTTGATATTAAAAATCAACTCATATTAGAAATTGACCACAGATCAGAAGTTCTACAGTCATTTTCATCTTTGGTCATCCATTCTGTGGAAAATACTGTGTTAAAGTCCAAGAATAAAAAGTACTAATGCACAAATTTATTTATGATTCTTTTATTTTAAATACAGCCATCGTTGTTCTCTGAGCGGAGAGGATCTTAACAGACGTTGGTTACAACCGATCAAAGAGCTTCATCCAACCATCTATCATACCAAAGGACTGCTTCAATACCTCAAGCTTATCGAGAGGAGCCCACTGGTTGGTATTCATTGTCTCATTTTTTTCTAGACATGTTTTTATTGGTTTTTGAATGATTCCAAAATGGATAAAACGGATGTTAGCTCCTCAAGCGGTTGGTTTTTAAAAGTGTAACTACTAAAATTGGGTTGGGTTGATATGCAGACCTGTGCCGGAGATATGTTTCCTATCACAGCACACGTGCTCTTGGTAAAGTTTCAGCCCATAAACTTGCTGTTTGTTGTGTGATTGGTTCTCTCTCTCCGTTACTGAAAAAGTTGCAAAGCTGATCTATGAAATAAAATTTGCAGAACGTTGCCTGTTATGGATTCTTCATTTATAGATAAGTTGAGTTCTGGTCATACGATTGCATTATGAAAGATACGGTGTGAAATTGATCAGATAAGGTTGATCATGTAGCATATATAAGTATTGGTGTGTACTGCAAGGTTCTGGAATCATCAAAATGATAAGAATTTTGGCCCAGTCGTGGTAAAGTTACAAGCACTGTACACATAAATATGTATATGGGACTATATGGGAAATCTCTCCCGATTTTTATGCTGTTACTTGCCATATTTAGAATATTGAGGCATTTTAAGAGCCATGCTTTTCAGGGAACATTTGTTATCTGATGTTTGTCAACACTTGCATAATAGCAAAGATAACAGTCACAAATTATTTTTCAACCCTTCCCAGAACTCAACCTTCTCTTTAAAACCTGTTGTATTTTCTTTGGCAGGTGTACTGTGATTTCCATGGGCATTCAAGGAAGAAGAATGTGTTCATGTACGGCAACAGTGCAGCCATGTCCCACTCTCCTGAGGATCTGATCAAGTTTGGAATCCCGTCAGGAGTGTCCGGTGCTAAAGTAGAAGATACAAGCTACAAGGTACAGCTTATGAAGTGTTAAGAGGAGGAGTGTCAGTGGGGTGGTGGAGGTGGTGGTGGTAGTGGTGGTGGTAGTGGTAGCTGAGGATAATGGTGATGTGAATAATGAGATTAAGGATGAAAAAATTGATGCAAATTATGGTAATATATATACAGTAGGCTTGGGGTTGCACCATTTGAGAGAGGGGAAGGATTGGGGAGTCCAGAAAAGGACACTCAGTAATCTTTCTTTCTTGAGTGTGTGCAACCACATGCCTACGGTACTGTATATCTATGTCACCATGCAAGCCGATACTTATAAGCAGAATTATGGTGATATTGATCATGACAGTGATCATGATATTGATGATGACAAGGATGCTGAATGATGGTGATTATAATGGTTGGGATGATGATGGTGATGACAATTATGATCATGGTGATCATGAATATGATGATGATGATGATGATAATAACAATATAAATGATGGTAGTGGGAGCTATGATTTTGACCGAACCTTATTGATAATGACATCTATAATGCTTGTAAACTGTGTTATCTTTCATTATCCTCCTCTTTGTCACTTCGCCCTCTAGACCCTTCCTCGTATCCTGAGCAGCATAGCCCCTGCATTTTCCCACAGTAACTGTAGCTTTGCTGTAGACAAGGGCAAGGAGTCTGCTGCTAGGGTAGTGGTATGGAGAGAGATAGGTGTAGCCAGGAGTTACACTATGGAGAGTACATACTGTGGCTTCGATCAGGGCAAATATAAGGTAAGCCATTTTCAATGCAGGATAGCAGCATTACATTTATTTAATCTGTTTTTCATCTTTATTTCATTGATCCTCTAAACCTGCAGCAAACTAGTTTGTAATCATAAATCTGTTAAAGTTTTAAATTTTGATAATGTGACATTTCTTAGATATCTATTAAATTATCTTGAAATGTAAGAAGAAAAAAAAAACATCCATGAAGGATTTTTGAACACTGATGAACATTTGGTAAGGCAAAGATACTTGTTGATACTCTGTAAGAATGAGAATTTTATTTCTACCGCAGTGTGAATAATTTGAAGATAATAGGTATCACTATTGCCAAAGGAATCATTTTCAAAAGCATTTCATTTAAGTGTCACCACCCAAGTAACCTTGGTTCCGGTCACCTATGGAATTGATCTTCAGGATGTATATTTTGAGAGATAAATAGTATTTTAACTATCTATTGAAGAAATGAATCATAGAAACCCTTATCATCGCTTCCTCCTTAGGGTCTACAAGTAACAACGGCCATGCTGGAGGAGATGGGGCAGCACTTCTGCGAGGGTCTTTACAAGCTTGCCCGTAGGTTTGAAGCAACAGGTACAGCTCACAGACACCTGTACAACCATACCTCCAGTGTGACTGACCCCAGCAGCTCAGGGGTGTCTAGTACCTACCCTTCAGCTCAACCCATGGAGGATGAGGATGAGGAGGATGGGGATGAATTCTTGTAAGTCATTCTCTTTTTCTGTTGACATGATTGCAAAGACTATCAAGAAATTAACTCATAGTCAATTTCAAAGGCCTATTATATTGCCTATCAAGTGTCATTGTCAAAGTATGTAATAAGTCATTGTTATGTACACACATATTAAAATGTGGTGCATGAATGCATGAGGCTATTGAAATTACCTAAGGATGATATTTTGAAAATCTTTGCACCTGTTTTTCTTGTACATTCTCAAGAGGAGATGCCAAGCACAGTGATTTGACCTGATGATAAGGGTCCTGTAATGGCCTAATTGTTCCCCCTCTGTTCTACAAAAGTACACAGGCTGTCAGGCCTTACGATGATTTATTTTTATATGGCCTCTATAATGTGGTATTCTGTATTTGTGCTATAACTTGGGAAATCGCCAAATTAGCACAATTTTACCCTAGCTGTTGTGTTTACGTAAGTTATTCTTAATCTAACTGAATACTAGTATAACAATTTCATATTGTAACTGTTTTGTATGATCAGGTATTTGATCTTTTTTTTCAGTAAGAAAACAATACTTTTTTTAAATTTAGAGAATGAATGACCCATTCACTTGTCTTTCCTTGATTTCCTTGTTGTCCCCTCCTAGTGGTGAGATGGAGAAAGCCCCTGCGTGTGAGAGGAAGCGAAGTCATCTGATGACGGACCTCAAGGAGGAGCTCACACCAAGCGAGAATGAGGAGGACGATGAGGACGAAGTGGAAGAGGAGGAGGAGGGGGATGTTGTGTTTGTGTATGGACTCGATGATGACAGCATCCCAAAGATAGATCGGAAGGTGGTCGAGGAGATGGAGGAGAGGGAGGAGGAGGAGGAGGAGGATTATGGATATCCTAAGGATTCCATCGTGGGCGGTCCAGTATGATGCGGTTAGTGAATTTCTATGGTAACGCATCATCATCATATGCCAAAGGTATTATAGTTCAAAGGATTCCATCATTAGAACTGTAACGAGAATGGGAGCGTCACATCAAGAGATGGTATTTGAAATCATCATTTTACTGTGGAGTAAAATAGACATGGTGTTTTATAGCCAGGGGGTCATTTGGGTGATACAGTAACAGAAGGAGACACTTGATGAAATAAGAGAGGTAACAGGGAAGAATAGTTTGAGGTAGGATGAAAGTGGTGACAATATGTGTCAGCACTTTGAAGTAGGAAGAAAGAAACCAACTCTACAATTCAAATACCTCATAAAAGTGTCATCTATGATAGCTGTATTAATGATAGTTTCTGGTGCAGGATTGTTTGTCTGTTGGCTTCACATGCAGCAAATTTGGCTAAATCATATTTCAGTGGTTTTTCTCTTGATAAGTATCCCTATAAGTTAAATGATTTTCACTATGAAACCGTTCTCCATAAGCTGTTTTGTATGGCTTCCTAAGGCGAGGGTCATTTTTAATAGTTTGCACTAATTGCGGATTAAATTGTGTGTGTGTAATTCGTTTTTACCAACATGCATCAATCAGATATGATTATTTACTTTTGGGGACCGATCTTAAAACGTCACATACCTTTACAGTTTAATGTCACCATCCAAAAAACGTGATGGTTGCGATACTAAGTCTGATTGGAATCTGTTTGTATTCGAAGACAGAGAGCTGACCATGGACATTAAGGCCAGACCTACTGTAGTCCCATCTCCCTGAACCAGCTGAGATATGAGTCTCTATATAGTTATATGGCTTCCCTAAGTTGTGCCTCATTAAAAAAAATTAGGGTTATCTAATTTCCTGTTTCCTGTTTACTTCATATCGTTACCTGTTTCCTGTTTACTTCATATCGTTTCCTGTTTACGTCATATTGTTTAATAATAAAAAATTAAACTTTTTTATTTAGCAGATAATACATTAGCAAATTTCATGTCTCTATGCACTTTAAGATAAAGAAAAAACGATGCACTGGGTTCGTGATTCTGATTATTTATGAAGTGGTGAAGAGATATGTCTTCAGAGAATTGATAAAGGTTTTATAGGGTCCCATTGTTTGCTAGTATCTCCTTGTGTGAGATGATAAAGGCACTATACCATTGCTCCATTGTGATTAGTTTGGCTTGGCATGAGTGGGTGTTATTTCCAAATCATTGATGTAAACCGCTGTAGGTCCACTTGCGATTATATAACAATTTGGAAAATACCAGTTTTAAAAAATACCATCTCTTACTAACGGAAGAATCAAACATCAGAGAATTTTGTTAGCGGATCACTCCGAGAATCTGGATAATTATTTATTTCAAATTGATAAGGAAATAAAGGAAAACAAAGAAGAGAGGAACAATTTTATGATTTCAGACAATTGATGAAATAAATGGAAAATTGTGTTCAGCTATTACACTGTATACTGAAGATTATTTGCTGCTCAAAGAATCTGTTTTCAGATATTTCACACGTGTACAAAGTCATGTAATTGCTCGACTTCTGTGCTCTAGGCCAGCTGGGTAAATTTATTTATATATGATACATGATACAGCAGTAGCAGTGCTGCTGATTGTGATGAATGATATCTAACTGCAGAACTACTGGAACCTAAAAGTGTTTGCATTATGTTAGTCTCAAGAGCAGTGCAAGCATGCCATGTCAGCAATCACATAAGGATACTATTATACATATCTGGTGCTAAGCATAATACAAAGCTCTGTTTGAAAATTACATCTTTTAAACTCCTAAGTTTTCTTCTAGGGCAAGACAACCAGTGAAACGAAACAGAGAGAAATATTTCTATGGAAAATTCAAAGTGTACATGATTTTGGTCATTTTTTTTCTTTAATTTAATTTCTTACACTCCTATACAGACAAAACGAGAAATCAACTTTTTATTGAGCCATACTTCTAATATTTCCTATCATTTCTTTTGGAAAATCTATGTAGATTTCAAACATTTTAATTTGATACATGTCAATGTTGGAAAGTACTTTTCTATTGCACTACCTTCATACGAACGTATCCACCACACACGCTGAATTGGGAGCATTGTTTGCCAGTTCCAACATCGCAGTAGTGAACCATGTGATATCTATGTGGACATGTTTAACATCATATAGGAGTCGTGAATGAACAACATCTGGTGCTAGGCAGAATATAGCACTATGTCTACACGTTTGTACCAAGTTTATGACCTTGTCAGAACCCAAACGATTTCAAATATTCTATTTTTGATTGTTAAAGATACAGTTGAGTTCTGGCCATGCGATTGCATTGTGAAAGAAACGATGTGGAATCGATCAGAAAAGGTTGATCATCTAGCATGTAAGTATTGATGTGTACTGCAAGGTTTTGGAATCATCAAAATGATTAGAAATTTGGCCCAGTCATGGTAAAGTTACAAGCACTGTACACAGAAAGATGTATAAGGGACTACACAAACACGTGGTATAAAGATCCGTCCCGATTTTTATGATGTTACATGCAATATTTAGAATATTGACGCATTTGAAGAGCCATGCTTTTCAGGGAACATTTTTTATCTGATGTTCTTCCACACTTGCATAATGCAATGATAACGCTCACAAATTATTTGTCACCTCTTCCCAGAACTCAACCTTCTCTTTAAACATGTGATATCTATGTGGACATGTTTGACATCATGATTGGAGTCGTGAATGAACAACATCTGGTGCTAGACAGAATCTACATGTAGTACTGTGTCTACATGTTCATGTTCATGTGACCAAGTTCATGACCTTGTCAGAACTGTCAATCGCTTTTAAATATTCTATTTTTGATTGTTGAGTCTGTGACAAATGCCATTGAAATGTGTTATGGACTGAAAGATGGTCATTGCAAGATTGCCACTATAAGGAGGGGGGGGGGGGGGGGGCTAATTTTGCCCCCCGTCAGATCTCGTTCATTTATGGACCAATTTTGACCAAACTTGGCGTGTCTGTGTCCCATCATGTAATTTACAAGAATGCATAGTCAAATTTATGCTTTCTTTTGTCATTCTTTATTTTTGTCTAATTAATGATGCAAATATTTACATTTTTTCAAGGAATTCTACTTTTTCCAGTTTTCCCTCTATTTATGGAGAAAATGCAGTCAAATTTGGCATGTTTGTAGCCTGTCATATATTCTAAAATATAGCTTGTTCAAATTAATGACATTTATTGAAGTTCCTTATTTATAAAATATAATTGTAATTTATTATGCAAATATGCTAATTTTTTTCTTCTCTAAAACCATATCCCTGATTTTTTTTTGCATTAAGAAATTATCGTGACAAATGTAGAGTGGGGGGGGGGGGCTAATTTAATATCTCTGATCTGCAATCTACTTTCCTCTATTTTTAAGCTGCCTGCCTCCACTGAGCACCGTTTCTACTTGATCTAATTCGTAGAATGTCATGCTCTGTTGCAGTCAAACCAATTGACTTGTCAGCTTAGGCTTTACTGAATGTGAGAGGGACCGAGGGGGTACATGAATGTTACCCATGAGAGCTTGAAAGGTGTCAAAACATACTCTCTTATTCAGACTGATCTCATTTGAAATTGAGAGGTTGCTTTTCATGAGCGGGTTTAGTGTTTTGAAAGAGTCATTGTCATGTAAGAGAAGAGCTCTTAAAACTATTGTGGACTAAACTGTTATATTACCTCATCAATGAGGATTCGGTGCAAATAGATTTTGTTTGATGGGTGTCAATAAGGCTATGACATGTATCATCAGTATTCCATTGCATTTTGCACTACCTTTTATTGTAGTGTAAGGTTTAGGGGCCTTGATGGAGCTGAGAGGGATGAAGGGGGAATATGAATGTTACACATGTGAGCTCAAAAGGTGACAAAGCTTACCAACTTGTTCAGACTGACATCGATTTGCAATTGAGAGCTTGCTTTTCATGAGCGGGTTTAGTGTTTTGAACGTGTCACTGTCATGTAAGAGGGAGACTAGACTATTATATTACCTCGTCAATGAGGATTTGGTGCAAATAGATTTTGTTTGATAGGTGTAAACAAGGCTATGACATGTATTATTATTATTCCATTGTCAAGGTTATATTGTAGTGAAAACTTTTCAGGTTCCCTCAGGTTTAGGGGCTTTAATGGAGCTGAGAGGGATGAAGGGGGATATATGAAAGTTACACATGGGAACTCAAAAAGTGACAAAGCTTACTCTCGCGTTCAGACTAATATAAATTTTTAATTGAGATTGAGATGGCCATCAGTGAGATTAGTGTTTTGAAAGTGTCATGTATGAGGGAAAGTGTCTGCCTCCACTGAACACCGTGATCTAAACAAAAATTGATCGATTATGTGTCACAGCACTCAACATTTTAAATATTTAATATATACATTATTTACCTTATTACCATTATGTTTTATTGAAAGTTGATGTATTAATCAATTCTCAATTCTTTTAAATCTGCTTTTTCAGATTTCCATACAAGCATATATCATTAGATCCTTTTTATCTGTTGTATTATCCTGAGCTATAAGATAATGATACGGTAGTGCCTGAATTCTTATATATTTTCTTTAACTATTTGTAATTTTGCTTTAATTGTGCAATCCTTATTACCTAGGTATGTAGATAAATCTTTGTTTAGATAATTGATTATCTTTGCTAATTATTCACTTCTTAGTATATTGTGATACATTGTTGTATATGATTCAAATATGTGTGCTGTGTCAATGTTGCAAAATTAATATTTCTTTATCGGTTATCACTGTATAAATTGTGTGTGTGTGAAGTATTAAAGATTATGCCTATAAATTATTTTATATTTATCAAAGTGCTACCTGCAAAAGGATAGGGGCATTACAAAATGATTAAGTCTGGGATTTATTAAGAAGTGCTTGGAGTAAAAGAAAAACAATAAGGATTTTTACCATGAATATCATTGATACCCCTTTAAGATTTTTGGTGATGATTATTTATCTTTATTGAGGTACAGTAATATACATTGTGTTAAATGAATAGGATGTAGGTTTTTCATGTGCATTATCCTATAAGAGTCAATTTGTATGACTTTTGCGCTTAAAATATATTAAAATGTATAAACTGATATTCATTTCAAGTGCCTTGTATTCTCAAACTTTCATTATGATTTTGGATAGGGCATACTCTTATGATTATTTTATGCTACATTTTGGGGAAAAATTCATACCGATTCATTTTTATTTAAATAGGGAGAGGATGTTTTACTGTAATGTTTGGTTAGCTTTCCATACACTGTAATTAAAAGACTTGAGAAGTCCATTTGATATCAGCCTTATCTTACAAATCTGCCCTAGAGAGTATGGTTCACTTGGTGGGATGATAGAATATGAGAAGATG